TTGAACCCAGGAGGACTGTGTGCAGACCTTATTTGCAGTACTATTTCTCTAGCCCCTCTTTCTTTTTCTTCAGATCATCATTATTATACCCCAGCTTGTTCTTCACCAGTGTCCCTCAATGTGATACTTGAAGTGGACTGAGATACTTCCATGATCTTGGCACCCCTGAATGATTTTGGAAACCAGAGATTGTCACCTGCCCTCACTTCTTGTACTCAGCACTGGTTCCCATGAACATGCAGGGAGCTTTAGGATTCATGGAATTTTTCACAGATGCAATCTCTGACCATCTACCCACGTACACTGTCTTACTATGGTCACAGTCTCTCGTGGCTCAAGTACCTGCATGTGACACCCTCAGTAAACACTGAGGTGCCTTCAGCTTCTTTTACTGATCGTTCATGACTTTCCCAGCACTGTCTAGAATTTATCTCTGTTCTCTGTACTACTAACTTTATGGGGAAGGCGAGTGTTTCCAAAAGCTCACTGTTTGTTGAGGGAAGTGGTATTAAGTCCACAGGTGTCAGATGGTCAGAGGGCTTGGTCATTAGGGAGCAGAGGTGGATAAGTGCCATGTGGCTACATCTGCCCACTACCCTGTGCCAGGAATCTTTGGCTCAGAGTGGCCTCCTCATAAGGGCACAGGAAGCAGCAAAGTGCTGAAGGAGTGTTTCCTAAACACTCCATCATTTTAAAAGTTTATTTAATGTTGTTATTGGAGCCATGTTTGGTTGTGCTTAGTGCTTATTCCTGGCTCTGTGCTCAGGGATCATTCCTGGTGGTGCTTTGAGATGAGATAATTTTTAAATTTTAGGAAAGTGCTTTTTTTTTTAAATTGGACTTTTTGTGGTTGTAGTTTTACAATTGTCGAAGCAGTATTGTTCTTGTGAAAAGACAGTGGGCCCTGAAAGTCTGTTCTGTGAGTTGCACATGACCCTCCATACTCTGACTCTCCAGGATGATATACTTTAGGCCCATATAACATTTCAAAGGCTTTTAGGCTAGAACAATAGTATGGCGGGGAGGGCACTTGCCTTGCATGTGGTTCATGTGGTTTCCATCCCTGGCATCTTCTATGGTCCCCTGAGCCTGCAGGAGTGACCCCTGAGTACAGAACTGGAAGTAAGCCCTGAACCCTACTAAGTGTGGCCCACAAGCCAAAAACAAATAAAAAAATTCAAAAGCTCAAAAAGAGTGGGGACCCACAGTATCTTCTGGATTTTAACTAATGGCTTTACTTGGTTTGCATTCAACACCCACTGTCATAATGGTGAGAGGAGGAGTTCGTTGGGGATAACCCTTCTGTTGAGTGTTCATGCATGCACACACATGCGTGTGCAGATGCCTCTCACGTGTCCACACTCGCACACTTGCTGCTGCTGCACATGCGCACTCCAGGGCCTCCTTCCAGAAGACCAGAGATATTCGACCTTCACCTTGGAAATGATTAAATGGTTGGGTCGGTGCCCTTCGAGTCCTCATCCCTGGAGTTTCTGATGCTGCCAGTTTGGGGGCGGGCCCAGTAATTGCTTTGTCAACAAGCATTCAGATGACAGTGCTGCTGCTGCTGACCAGGAGGATCATGCCTGCCCCCAAGTTATCAGAGCCTCAAGAAACCTCTTTATTTTTATTTTTTCAATATAAAAGCTTATTCTAATAATTGGAAAATTGCACACAATACTTTAATACTCAGAATATGGGCTCTCTTTTTTAAAAATTTCTTTATTATGTTTCTTAATTTTTTTAATTATTATTATTTTTAATGAATCACTGTGGGGTACAGTTACAGACTTACAAAGTTTCGTGATTATGTTTCAGTCATACAGTGATCGAGTGCCAATCCCTCCACCAGTGCCCATTCTCCACCACCAATGTTCCCAGTATCCCTCTCATCCCCCCCTACTCCATCCCCCCCCCCCCCCGCGTATCACCCCTACTCTGCCTCTGTGACAGGCACATTCCCCTTTACTCTCTCTCTCCTTTAGGGTGTTGTGGTCTGCAATGCAAGTATTGAATGGCCATCATGTTCGGTCTATAGTCTACTTTCGGTGCACATCTCCCATCCCGAGCGAGCTCTCTAAACACCCTTTACTTCAGAAACCCGTTTAAAGGAAGAATTTGAGCAAGTGAAATGCAGCCCCTGCAGAGTGTAGCTATGATTCTGAATTTGGGGCTCACCTTTGAAACATTTTCATTTCCTTAGTCTGGACGGGGGCCTCAGGGCCCTTCTTTGGGGGACCTTGTTTCTTGGATGATGACCATCCATCCTGAAGGTATCCTGGAAGTGTGTGTCGGCTAATATTGAGTTCATAAACTTCTTTTTCTCGCTCCTCTCCATGTTACACAGTTTCTGGTGATGTGCTCTGAAGTTCACTCTTTTTGTCGGCAGCATCCGGCATGTTGTGAAGTCTACGCAATGAGTGGTTTTGGTTGTTTTGGAGCAGTGCTGGAGGCACTGTCTTGGGCGGTTGGGGGCGTGCTCCCAGCTGTGCTCAGGAAACATGGAGCAGTGGAGAGTGACTCCTGGGTGGAGGAAGTGGACTCTCCTGTCCTTTCCAAGATTTGACCTAAAGCAAGAAAGCAGATACCAGCGGACACTCATGAACCAAACACCATTCATTTTAGTGACTCACGCAGACACTTTCTGAGAATCCCCTTGGGGCATCATAAACTAGAAACAACTGTGTATATAAATCATTTACAATTACTAAATTGGTTCAAAACCATCAGGTTCCTTGAGGAGATTTATCAACATTTAAAGAGCTCAGTGAATGTCATAAGAGAAACATCCGTTCATGATTTGGACCAGATGCTACTCCAGGGTTCCTGTATTGGATCTTGGGACTGGTGTAACCAAGTACCCTGACTGATGCCTGAAGCTACGAGTCCCAGATTGGGGTCTGTGGAACTGGGTTCTGGGGCCATGAGGGAGAAGCTCTCCTCTACTTCCCGTGCTTAGCTTGTGGGCTTCTTGCATAGAGACAGGGTAATTCCAATCTTCAGGGGGTCTTCTCCTGCACCCCCATCTGCACATGGCTCTTTCTGATTAGTTCACCAGGCAGATGGGCTGAGGGCCCAACCTAATGACCTCATTGCAACTTGATTAGCTCTAGAAAGACGTTCTCCAAATAAGGCCACAGAATGAAGCCCTTGAGGGTGGGAAGAGGCAACATGTGTATTGGGGAGGGATAGTGTCCAACCCAGAATAATCCCTCTGGGACTAGCCTAGCAGGATTTAGACCTGTGAGTCAGAAACTGTAGGTTTTTGGAGGTTTTTATTATTATTATTATTATTATTTGAATCACCCTGAGATACAGTTACAAAACTCTTCATGAACAAGGTTCAGTCATGCAGTGTTCCAATACCCATCCCTCCATGAGTGTATGTTTCCCACCACCAATGTCACAGTTTCCCTCTTGCCGCTCCCTTACCCCCAGCAAGCCTGTCTCTATGGTAGACACTTCGCTCTCTTCTCTCTTTCTCTCTCCCCTGCCCCCCTTTCTATCCACTCTCCCCACTTCTTTTGGGTATTATGGTTAGCAATAGAGATACTGGGAGGTTATCATGTTTATCCCTTTACCTACTTTCAGCACGTAGTTCTTATCCAGAGTGATCATTTCCAACTGTCTCTGTTATAGTGGTCCCTTCTCCAACCCAGCTGCCTTATTCCCCCACACTGGAGGCAGGATTCCAACTGTGGACCAATCCTACTGGCCCTTGTTTCTTCTGACCTTGGCTATAAGTCAAAAAGGTTGGAGATTCAGGGCTGTAGCGATAGCACAGCGGGTAGGGCGTTTGCCTTGCACGCAGCCGATTCGGGTTCAATTCCCAGCATCCCATATGGTCCTCTGAGCACCACCAGGAATGATTTCTGAGTGCAAAGCCAGGAGTGACCCCTGAGCATCGCCAGATCTGACCCAAAAAGAGAAAAAAAAAGGTTGGAGATTCTTCAATCAAGAAAGTGGATTTGCTATTTGCTGATTTTCAGAGATATTTTTCCATGTTTACAATTGATAGATTTTATAGAATTGAGGCTGGGGGAAAGAGAGGGGATTACTCCTGAACTCATGTCCGTATCTACATGGCCAGGGCTCTGTGCTCTCGGTCCCCTCAGTCCCCACTGCTCCATGACTGTGAGAGGCTCTTCCTCCTGCACTGGCCATGCCCACTGTGTGCAGATTCTCTCCTACTCACTGGTCCTTCCTGGATTGTTACACCCTCGCCTCCATCACTGAGAAAAATGAATATCTGTTCTGCCAGTGCCCATTTATCTTTGTGTCAAATACCTGGTTAGACACATAAGTTGGTTGTCTTCTCCCAGTTTCTATACTGAATGAGCTTTGTGGATTTGAGACCTTCAGTATAAACATTCTCACTAAGGATACATTATAGGTGGGTAGCTGAATTTCTGTTAATGAACGTAACTGGAGTAAGTTAGGAAGATAATACAGCAGTAAAATTTTTGTTTTGCATGTGGCCAACCCAAATCTGACCCCAGCACTCTATGGTTCCCTAAGTACTGCCCAGGCCAGGAGTGATCTCTGAGTGCAGACACAGGAGTAATCCCTGAGTATAGCCTGTTATTGCCCAAAAGCAACACCTCTCCCTCCCCCAAAAAATTTTAAAGCATCTACAAAACTGCGTGGCTAGTGTGATGTGCTTTGGGTATCAGCTGCAAATCCTGCCTCTATTTATTATCTTAAGACTTATGGCAATTAAGTTTTCTGGCAGAAGATGGATGCATAAGCAGTCCATTTAACGTTTTGTCTTCTCCTTAATTATTGCTTAAACAAACTTCTGTGATGTGACATCACCCATCTGTATGCAGATAATTATTCAGAGATTTATTAGCTCAATAAAGAGATGACTCACCCAAGAAATGGACTGTGTGATTTAATTTCTTAAGTTAGTTATCATTTTAAAGCAGAAATATTTAAAATAACAGATTGAATCATGATTGCAGGATTCTTCTATAAATGTATTTCTCTTTCTTTCACAGGGATCTTCGCTTTAATAGAATCCGAGAGATCCAGCCGGGGGCATTCAAGAAGCTTAGAAACTTGAATACGCTGTAAGTCCAGACATTCTTTTTTGGGGTGGAACAGTAGGAGAATCATAGACAAATAATTATTCCATAACTGTAGGTAGACTTCACATTCTTTTGGTGAATCCCAGTTATCCGTAGCCAGATCGGAAAAGAAAGGTGAAGCTTGGGATAAATATAGATCACAGGAGAGTGGATTTGATGCTTGATGCTGTTTGCTGTCCTGAAATCCCTGGACCACTCTATCCTGTGTCATGGTTATCCACAAATCTCTCCATCATACATCATATCACTCATTTTGTGTGACATTAACAGACCTCTCTATCCTGTGTCATGAAATCTGTGCTATGTAACATCAGTTAAACTCTGTCATACATCATATCACTCATTCCATGTGACATTCACAGACCTCTCCATCCTATGCCATGCAATCTGTGCTATGTAACATCAGTTAAACTCTCTGTCACGTGTATACCAATACAGATTACCTCTCATCCCTTGCTGGACTGGGTTTACGTTTCTCTCTGACCAGGGTTTACTTCTGGAAGTGCCCACGGCACCCTAGGTAATGCCAGGGATCTCCCTGGAACTGGTCATATGCAAGGTAAGCTTCCTATCTGCTATACTGCTGCTCCAACACCTGAGTTTAGATCTCCAAGTAAGGTGGAAGGAAATTAAGGACTCAAGTGCTGCTGTTTGGCTCCAGTGCTTTGATCCTGAATTGAACTTGGGGATCTTTTGCTCAGTGGGTCTGCTGCAGATCCAGGATGCTCGTTGCACATTTGGAGCAAGGGCAGGGCTGGTTTCTCTAGTTCTTCTGTAGCAAGATGGTGACTGTGGGCTCAAGGGAATATGTGAGGGGTGAAAATCAAGCCAGTTCACTATTACTGTGTAAACAGGAATGCAGCATCCTCTATTTACACTCGGGTTCTTTCCCTGAGAAGCGAAGGTTCTTGGGTAGATGATCTGCTTCCATGACATCTAGGCAGACCACCATGAACTTCTGCCATGGTATTCTAATTCCATGGTTTGGGCTGGAGTAGAAAATCTAAATGGGAGCAGAATGAACACTGGCATTCTTTTGTTCAGGAAAGAGGGAGTGTTTTTCTAAAAATACAGAGACAACCAATATAGAGTGGTGGTAGATACATTATCCTGGGAAATCTGTAATCATGAGGCTAAACACCAGAAATGCTGACTGTTGTGTTGATTTAGCATTATTGGAGGTTGGTACTGAGTTCTGTAGCTTAATCATTTTATGATCTTTCCCAATGTTATAGAATATTTCTTCATAAACTACTTTCTAGAAGTACTTTTTAATTCGTTTGTGGGGGTAGTATTTGGGCCATGTTGGCTTTACTTAGGGGCTACTCCTGCTTGGTATTTAGGAGTCTCTTCTGCTGGTGCTCAATGGACCATACACAATAGTGGAATTGGACTCGAGTTGGCTGCATTCAGTGCAAGTCCCTCAACCTCTGTACAATCTCTCTGACCCCTAATTCTTACTTTCTTGAAATTTTCATTCACAGGCTTCTCAACAATAATCAGATCAAGAGTATACCCAGTGGAGCATTTGAAGATTTGGAAAATTTAAAATATCTGTAAGTTTGTGATCAGCTTTGTATCTCAAAAATGTTTTGCATGTTATCTGATTTTGGCAGCCTGAGAGTAAAGTGGAATTTTTTGCTGCGTATACAGTGTGGTAGGTTTTATTTTCAGGTGAGTGAAATTTTGGTAGGAGTCTTAAAAATGAATTGCCATCAGTGTATTGTGCTATGTTCTATGAGTGTTTAGTATTTATCTACTAAGCCTTAGGTTAATTAATAGCCATAGCTTCTGAAAATTATTCTTAAGGAATAATAATGACATTCTTAAGCTGGAAGTTGATAACTTATATTTAGTTGCTCGTGTGAACAGCTGATCATGTTTGGTAAGATATCAGCTTTCAGATCTCTTTCCAGTTGCCTTCCCAGCTATAGATGCAAGTTACAAATCTCTTTGGAATGCCACTAATTCCTGATAATTTTCTTCAGCTTCCTCTTCTTATTTTACCTCTTTATTTTATAGATGTTAAATGTACTATCTTATTTTTAAAATTAATTTTAATTAAATAAATTACTGCCATCTATGACATCTGCTTGTTAAAGTCAGTTCTGCAGCTTAGAAAGTATCTTTCTTGTGGGAAGAGTACTTTTGCAGCTAGAGAATAATCTCGCAGGGAAATACTTCATAGGCACTAATTTTCAAAATGAAAATCTTGAAGGAAAATCCTCCAATTACGTTCCTAGAACTAGACGGAAGTAGGAGCTTGTGCTTAGAACAAATTATTCTTATTTTTAGAACTTAGATAACTTTTTAATTGGAAATTCATTGCTTAAGTGAACCTGAACGTCTTTAAGTAATATTGATTTTTTAGAACAGTAATATTGGGAAGCTCAAAGGGCTGGAGCACATGCTTTGCATTCAGTGGCCCATTCTGATCACCCCCTTCTCTCACCCTTCCACTCAAAAAAATCCCAGTAATAGTGTTAAGGTTGAAATCTGTTTGCTTTTAGATGGCAGCGTTTCTTAACTATAGATCTTACTTGAACTTTATAAAAATATTTTTCCTCCATGAATATATTTAAAAGTAATAAATGTAAGAATTTTTCTCATCACGTTGGTGTAGTATGTTAACTTTTGATTTTGTATTGATCTTGTTACCTAATTATTTGTTCTATTTTACTCTTTGTGGGTGCTTTTTGAGCTACACTTGACACTACTCAGAGACTACTCATGTCTCTGTACTCAAGACTGATTCCTGGCAGTACTCAGGGGACCATGTGTGGTGCCAGGGATTCAAACTGGGGGCACCTTAACCCCTGGTTTATCTCTCTGGCCCATAATCACTTATTTTAAAAATGAGAGATGGGTCTTTTATTCGTTCTTTGAGATTTTATTTGTTGTTTCTTATTATCCTTTAAAAATGTTAAGTGTTGTGAATGATGTAAAAGAAAACCTTTGATTTCTTGGTGAGCAGTCTCCATAGATAGTCAACAGATAGCATTCTGTGTGTGTGTGTATGTGGTGTGTGTGTATGTGTGTGTGTGTGTGTGTGTAGTTTGTATTTTATTTTTCATTTTATATTTTACTTTTGGTTTAAATTACTTAGAGCAAAGATTGTTTTCTCTGCAAACATATTTCATGTTAAACTATTCTGTTAGAATAGTCTCTTTTGGTGGGAGGGTCAGAATTATACTTTTGGTAGTGGAGTTCCAAGTGATCTTCAGGAGACCTAAATCTTCCCCTTTATTAATATTTCTGAATGGTGACATTGACTTTTGACTTTAGAGTCATATTTAAAGGATCAACTCTCTGAGGAAGTAGAATATTATTTATAATCTGTTGTTAGAAGGTGAACCATACCTGATTATTCTTTTAGGGGTAGAGAGTACTCAGGGGCTCTGGGCACCATTCCTGGCCATGTCTTGCCAACAAGTCTGAATGGTTCAAGACTTGGCAGAAGATGTGGAGCTGCTTCAGCCTTGCCATGTCAGGTACCACCTGCAACACACTTGGCAGTGAGGGTGGGAGTAGAACAGTGGAGCCAGGGATTGTACTGGGATCCTGTGCATGCAAAGCCTGGATCCCCAGCCCCAGTATACAATTACTCTTTTTTGTTTGTTTTTGTTTTCTTTGGGGGGCCACACCTGGTGGCTTATTCATGACTCTGCTTGTGGTGCTCAGGACCACGTGTGGTACTGGGGATTGAACCCAGGTCTGCAAGTGCCTTCCCTGCTGTACTATCTCTCTAGGCCCCTTTCTTTGAAAGACAAATGATGCTGTACTATCTTTATCCTATGAATGTGCACCATCCATGTCAGTTTAGTTCAATTATTTCATGGACTCTTATTTTGATGGGAGGGTGGTTGGCCACACCTGCCAGTACTCTGAGGACCATACCAAGGATCAGCTGCATGCAAGGCAAGTAGATGCTTTCAGTTCTGTACTACCTCTATGGCTCTTCGTTACTGACTCTTTAAAATGATCCCATTACTGGGCACCAGAATGTAGCTGTATGTGTGAGACCCTGCATTCGATTCCTGGCATGGCAGAACCTTTGAGCATCACTGAGAGTAACCTCTGAGATAGAAATAGCCCTTTAGCACTGCTGGGTATGACCCCCAAACCCAAATAAATAAAGCTTTAAAAAGAAAAGCAGAGATTGAAGCGATAGTACAGTGAGTGGGGCTTTTGCCTTGCATGTGGCAGACCTGGTTTCTATCACTGGCATCCCATGTGGTCCCCTGAGCCCTGCCTGGAGTAATTCCTGAGCATCGCTGTGTGTGACCCCCCCAAAGCAAAATAAAAAAAATAAATAAATAGACAGGTATTACTCTAATTCTTTTTAACCAGATGCAAAGTGATGGTTAGTATTTTGTTTTCTCTATATTTACTTCATGAGACTTACCTTCTGTCAAAGTAATAATTCCATAAAATTGATGGTTAATGTGTAATCTGTATTCTGTGCACTGTAGATATACTTAGTCTCATGAACTTGTCAGGTATTACTGTTTTTCTCCAACAAAGGTGACTTGCTTATGCAGGACCACACTGCTAGTAAATAATTGTCCAGGGACTCTAAACCCATGGGACAAGGCCTCTCTTATGGGCACTAACTCCTACCTGTGGGCATCCTGGCTGGCTGGTCACATTGCTGGGAGTTCCTTGTGAGCTCATCTCAGCAAATTTGCCCAGGGAAATTGAGAAATGTTTGGGTGGATTGCAGTGATTCAAGTCAGTACAGCAGGTCCTGTGAAACTCAATCTTTACCAACATTCTTAAAGACATTGAAACACACTGTTGTTCTGGACCAGTAGTATGACTGTCTCTAGCATCATGTTTTTCCTTTGGTACAGGAGCTCATTGAAAATAACCACTGAGTAACCAATTTGAGAAGACTATGCTTGCTTGAGGTTATGTTGTAGGAAATGTGTGGCTTTGGGGTCTGCCCATGTGCCTACACCAATGATGGAGAAATGCCCAGACCAGAAATTTCTGTGCCAGAGTACAGAAATCATCTTAGTCAGAATCTCATTCTTAGGATCCCCAAGGTTTGCTGCTTTAAGTGCTATTAGGATAGAACTAAAACCACTTTATGACCAAGACAGAGAGGTAGAGCCAACATGTATATTTGGAGTGTTTTGGAATTTTGAGACTTAGTAAAATTTCCATCTTTACTAAGTTATATTCAGGAATTGGCTTTTTTTAGAGAGAGATAAGCAGTACATATTTGAGTCCTCGAGGGCCAGTCTGTCTTGAACACTCAGTTTTTACATGTGGAGCTGTCAAGAATACCTGATAAATGGGGTACATTTGACCATGAACCAGCCACACTATTAAAGGTCACAAATTTGCATGACATATAATTTTCATGGCCATAAATTTTCTTTTGCAGGGGATAGCGGGGGGAATTTGGGTGTGATTGTGTCACATCCAGCAGTACTTAGGGCTTGCTTCTGGCTCTGTAATCAAGGGTCACTGCTGATAACTCCTGGCTGTGTTTGGGGAACATATGAGATACAATTATTGAAGCAGAGTTGGCCACATATAAGGCAAATGTTTTAACCTCTGTAATATCTCTCAGGTTTTGTATATTCTTCTTAAACTTTTTAAACCTTTACAAAATGTGAAGCTCATTCTTAGCTTGCAGGCTATACAGGCAGTAGTTCAGTTTTGTTACTCTCCTAATGTGCCTTTGTGGTTTTTGTTTTAAAAGAACGGAATTCTGGGTGAGTCATTCAAAGTGCATTTAATCTTCATGTTGCCTACTCCCCACTTTATTTCTGGATATTTTAAAACTATATCATCAGTTAAAGAATCTTATTAGCAAAACAGTTTAAGTGTGTATGGGTGTGTGTGTGTGTGTGTGTGTGTGTGTGTGTGTGTGTGTGTGTGGTGAGCTTGGGTGAATGGTTTTCTTAGTTCAGTTTTCTTCAGCTCATGAAGCAAAACGTAGTCAACACTCATAAGTCATGCTCCATGAATCTGAAAACAAAAAATCAATGGTTTCACCAGCCCCAGCATGGATGGTGGTTACCTGGTTACACCTTTGATCTGCTTAAGTCTTTTCTTTGAGAAGGGCATGGGGAACGATCAAGAGCTGTACTTGCTATGTACATGTTTTGTGTGTATTCTAATACTGCTATTAATTTAAAACTACGTCCATGTGTCACCTTAATTCTTCTTTTCTGTCTTGTTTGTGTGTTAATCCTCGCCAATGTTTCTTATTTCAGCTATTTATACAAGAATGAGATCCAGTCAATTGACAGGAAAGCGTTTAAGGGACTTGCCTCTCTAGAACAACTGTAAGTGCCCTTCTCTGCACTGTTTCTTTGGGTATTCTGTCCTGCTGCCTCTTGGAAGGAAAATGGACTGTTTACCATTTGCTTGATGCATGTCTATACTACGTGGAGTGCAGGGAGAGTGCATGCAAATGAAAAAGCCATTGCCAGTCAGTTACTCCTCTGTCTAGTCCTTACCCATCGATAACAGACATTTTGAGTTTTTATTGTACACCAGACCCCTTGCATGCACCCGTGAATTAAGAACCTTCAGACTGGTGTCTTCATGAGGCTCCCAAGGTAGAGGGATTTGCAAACAAATTTCAGCAGGTTAAAGGCCTTTTGTGGGAGATGTTTTGGGATAGAGCAGAAGAGAAGGTAATTCTCCTTTCCTGCTGTTTCCTGTTTTTGAAACTATATATTTGGTTTATTTTCTTTATTCATGATGTCATCATTTTGGATAAAATGAAGTGTTTTCATGTGTTTCTAGAGAGTGTATGTTGGATGTCGTTCCTTTGGCCCCATACAAAGTTCTACATTGCTGTGAAGTCCCTTTGTTCATTTTGAAGTTGAATTCCCAGTGAAAGGACTCCTTTTACTGGTTTGTTGGCCTGGCTAGTCACCTTTCAACCAAGGAGCCAAAACAAGTTCTGAGGAGTTTTAAGTCATCAGAGTCTGCTACGTTGGAGGCAAAGCAGCTGTCTGTAGAGTGGCATCCGTCTACAACAGCTGTCTCTGGACTTTTGTGTTCCCTTGTTTGTCTGGGCACAGAAATATTTTCAGAGCTGGGAGAGGGCTTACACTGAAACTAAGTGCTTTATAAACACACAAAGTGCTTGTGTTTCCAAATAATTATTTATTTACTCAACTGGGAACTGCTTTCCTGAGTATGTTATGCATGGCATGGACCAGAGTTGGGAAGAAGTCGTGTGGAAGGTTTGTATAATCCTGTTTCAGAGAGAAGGGAACAAAATAGTTCAGATCATCCCCCCCAAAAGACATGGACATGTCTGGAAAACCTCCAGCTGAGGCATGAGTTTCAAAGGAAAGAAAAAACTTGTTTACATTACATGCTTGTAATGTAAAGAAGAAACAAGAAAGTCTTTGCAGACAACAACTGTGAGAGGTTGGGGCCCTGTGATTAGAAAGATTAGAATTTGGCAGTGTTCATCCAGGTTTAGGAAAATTCACTTATTGCTATAAATTGTTTATGCTCTACCATTGTGCTACATTCTTAGCCTGTGTAGAGTGACTCTTAAGGGAGAAAGAGGAAGAGGATGGGGGAGAAATGAGGAGGCAGACAACTGAGTCAGACAACTGGCATCTGGGCAGCACTGTGTGAGACTTTCTGAGCAAATATTGTGCAGGTGGAGGGAAGGACACGCTGTCATGTCAAAACCCAGGGCTGTTTTGATCTCGGTCGGCACTGCTGGTTGCCCCCTCAGTGGCAATTTGTCCTTTCCAAATTGTGAAAGCAGAGTGACCACCCACTCAGAGGGAAAAGGGAAAGGAGGGCGTAGGGGTTCGGAAGAAGACTGGGAAGAATGGCTAGACATTGTGGTCTTTGGATGACCCCTTTGGTCTGTGGTCAGCAAATATACGTGGCCAGAATCAGGCACAGAAATAGGAGTCAGGGTCCTCTCTTGTCTGTTGTCTGGGCTTTCCTCTTCTCTTTAGAGAGGACTTGAAGGATACCTCAGGTTACCTATGGTTTTAGCAATTGTGATTTCTGAAATCTTTCAGCCCTGCATCCTATAGCTTAGCTTTCTTCCTGGCTGGTCCGCACTCTGGTCTGTCAATGTGAGACTTTGGAGGCAAGGGTCATGCGGGGATTGAGACTTGGGCCACATCTGGCTATGCTCAGATCACTCCTGGCAGGGCTCAAGAGACCATATTGGATGCCAAGAATGGAACCATGGTTGGTGGCATGCAAGGCAAGTGCCTTACCTCTGTATTATTTCTCCAGCCTCTAAATGAGCATTTCTAAGTCTTAAAGACCTATCCTCTCTTTCTCTTTGCACAGTGTGAGGTGTGCTTTGCTGATCTAGCTGGCTTTAAATCTCTGAGCAGAACTGCTGATCCTGTTAGCTTCTGTTGTCTGTCCCAAGAGCTGCACTGTAGAGGCCATTGAGATTCTGTGTGCCTCTGTCTTTTGCAGGCACTGTTATGTGATGCCACCAATGGAGGGGCTCCTTGTCCTGATTCTGGTCTCTCTCAGGCACTTTCCACTCACCTGTGGAGGGATGAGTACAAGCCTGTCCCCAGCAGGCAGTAGGAGAGAAGAGGGGGTGGGAGAGGAGGTGGTGACACGGCCATGCAACTCGGTCAGCGTCTCTTTTCTCAGAACTCTGTGATTTTCTTGTTGAGCTTGCTCAGGGAGAGTCCCTGGGTACAAATAGGAGAGAATGTGAAGAGCTGGGAGTTTAGGTAGTTTCTAAAAGTTCTTTCAAGTCTCTGATTGGTATGGTGTGGGTTTGGAAAACTTTCTCCTGGGTTCTGTGAAGATGCCATCCTGCTGGTCTTGGACTCTGGCTCAGCTTTTGATGCCCTGTGTGTGTCCCGAGGCCAACATTAAAGACATAGGATGGGGTGGTTGCTGGGCAGATCTTCTTGTTATATATGGAGTATGGGAGGGCTACAGATTGGAGGGGACTCTCCCCACTGGTGACTTAAGTGTTCTATCTAAGGGAGCATCCACACAAACTTTTAAAGTGATTAGAACAATCTTGAGCACATTTAGAAGAGATTACTTGTCCCATAGGTATCAATTATGAAAATAAGGAGGCATCTTATCTGTATATTATGTATATCAAAGGACATGAAACGAAATGCATTCTCTTTTATAAGGTCGTGCCATTGTTCTTTGATAGTTGTATCTCTAGTTGACACTATACTCAGTGTCACATCATGGTAGATATTAAGCCCCCTCCCAAATCCATATAACCACATTTGGGTTTGAGATTGAAGTAGAGGTATCCATATGGTACCTGGAGTAAAGTTATAATCAGTTCCCATCTAGGACAGAGCTGTATTCCAAGAAATGTGTTTGTAGGCAATTCCATCACTGCAGAGGATAGCATATCAATACACACCTAGAGGCTGGGGCCTGCTACACCTGAGCTTGACACTGGGCTAATCCATGAGATCACTGCACAGGTGCCCTCTGCCCTGGGCTCAGATGACCTTAGGCGATGTTTGATTCTTTGTTGATTCTCTTTCAGTAAAAGGCTGTATATGCTTGGAAAATGAATCCGCACATTGAGTAGCCACTGTTTTGTTTTTTTTTGCTCTGGCTGTAAAGGAAGCCCAATTGGTGTGTCTGACCTTCAGGCACCATTGTCATTTGGAAATTTTCTCCAGTTGTAGGAACTCCTTCTAGTTGCTGTCCTTACGGATTTTCTAGACAATGTAGGAAGCCTGGAGTAAACTGATGATCTATGAGTTGAAATGACCTAACAATAATCTTAGTCAAAAGTCTACATCTGTGAAGGTGTTAAATGTGTTTAACATTCGTCTCTTCTCCCTTTTGTTAAAATATTTCTAGGTACCTGCACTTTAACCAGATAGAAACTTTGGACCCAGAGTCATTCCAGCATTTGCCCAAACTAGAAAGGCTGTAAGTAGCATTTAGTTCCTCACTTTCACTTTCACTTCTGGGTCCCGGGGCCCTTGGGCTCTGCCTGTCCACTGTAGAGAGGTAAAGTTTCTTAAAAACCTGCACACTTGACCTGATTAAAAAAAAATCTGTGCACCTAATCTTAACCATTCAGAGATGGGGCTTGCCATTTTCTTTCAGTTTGGGAATGGCAATAAAACAGAAAATCGATCCAAAAACTAAACCATCAAACCTCAAGCCCCACCTTACTCATCTCTATATTAAGTAGCATATTCAGTTCCATTCAGTACTAAATAGTCAACTCATTCATATTAGAAAAAAATGCACTCAGGACATTAGAGGAGAGTCTTGGACAACGATTATTGTGCAATAATTTTGTACATCAAACTCATTCATTTTAAGTCTATTGTAAACTTGTTACTAAATTATAGTAAAAATGAAGAAAATTAATAGAAGTAAATGCATACATGGAGACAATATTTTTAAGCCTATTATTTGACTCTATTCTGCATACCCACGAAGTGTGTAAAAAGCTGATGGTTAATTGTATTATCTCTTTCAATAGATTTTTGCATAACAACCGAATTACACATTTAGTTCCTGGAACATTTAATCACCTGGAATCTATGAAAAGATTGTAAGTATAATACCTTTTGTGCTCCCATTTCCCCTAAGTCCAAGCTTTCTTTGACCGACTCCATTAATTGTACAGTGATATCATAGTTAGAATATGTTATGGTATGGAGTTGGAGTAATATACAAAGGTCAAGGTGTTTGCATTGCACATACTTAACCCACATTCCACCCCTAGTAGCACATAAGGTCCTTCATCCCCACCAAGAGTGATCCCTGAGCACAGTTAAGTGTGGCCCAACCTCCCCCTCTCAAACAAAACAAAACAGAATAGGCATCACTGGGAGTGATAGCCTGTGCACAAGGAAGGTGGAGTGTTTTTCCTTAAAATGAAAAACGAAAAGCTTGGACTAATTCAAGGAGCATGGAAGAGATTACTCCTTAAGTGGGCCAGGAAGGCATTATTTTCGATTTTAAACTCTTCCATTTTTAATACCATATTGCATATTTTACTGGTGAATGTGAAGACAGGAGAACGTCTTTACTGTATTTTATTCCTTTTATTCAAACACAGTAGTAAATATGTTCAGTGGACTGAAGTCTCCCACTTTTAACATCCTCAACTCCCACCCAAAAGACATGTATTTGGTCTTTCTTAGCGTGAGTGCTTTCATACAGTAGAATTAGGTGCCTCAGAACTAAGCAGGGGCATTCTTTCATGTCTGTTTCTCCCCATTGTTTGGACGGCATTGTTTTCTGTTAGGCCTTCCTGAGAAGGCACCAGAAGCCAGATTTGAGAAAACTCAAGGAAACCAGTCCAGCTGCGTATATTTTGCAGCTTCATTTGATGGTGCATTGAAGACCCTGCTCAGGCTTTTCCCCTTTAGAATGAGAAAATCCCCAGCTAGCCTGAAAGCCGCATGCCAGGGGAGGTGTAGCAAATGTTCCCATACTGGATAGCTAAGAGAGAACTGCTGACAGTCTGTCAGAAATCACCCGTGAAGTTCAGAGCAGGCAGGCACCTGCTCTGGAACATTCTGTGTTTCCCTCTGTTTCTAGCCTCCTGTGTTTAGACTAAGGTTAGGCCAACCCACCTTTCTCCTCTGTCTGCCCTTGACTTGGCTCAGGCTAGGAAATCCCAGATTTGGATGCCATCTAGGACCCAGAATCGGAAGGTCCCACCTGCAAAGCTGACCTCCTGGTCTCTCATTCAAAGGGTCAGAGGATGCTGGACAAACCATGTTCTCCTCAGCCTGCTTGTTCACGTGACTGTGTTCCCCTCCCACCCCATGTCTCCATCTCTGGTTTCCTGTCTGTCTGTATACTGTTGGTTGACATTCTGGTCGCCATCCCAGACAGCAGGACTGTGTGAGACCCATCCCCCGAGATGACCAGGCGACTGGTCTCAAGCCACTGGCCTGCCCGGGGGGTGTGGGGCAGTCAGCCTCACTGGCGGCCTCTTCCCTCCCAGGCGCCTGGACTCCAATGCGCTGCGCTGCGACTGTGAGATCCTGTGGCTGGCAGATCTGCTGAAAACCTACGCCGAGTCGGGGAACGCACAGGCGGCCGCCACCTGTGAGTACCCTCGGCGCATCCAGGGTCGCTCGGTGGCCACCATCACCCCAGAGGAGCTGGACTGTGGTGAGTGTGAGCCGCTGGGGGTGTGCTCAGCCCTCTCTGGGCTCTCCTCCTCATCAGGCCTTAGCGGGACCAGACAGAGGTCTGCGCTGGAGCCCGTGTCAGTAACTATGGGGTGGTGCACCGGAGTTTATTTTAAGGTTCCCTTGCAAAAGAACAGAATGAAACTTACCTCCCCTCCTGCTTCTTCCTGGTCCGCTGAGAGTGAGGGGATTCAGGTTGGGCCTGGGTGGGAGGCAACTGGAGCTGGTGAGAGGGGGCCACACCCTGATGGATCCAGGCCCCTCTGTGTTCTGCCCCGAGCATAAGTCACACCTCCCCACAGGGATAAGTTACAAGAAAGGAAATAAAACCGAATTGCTGGATAGAATCTTCCTTCTCATGCTAAGGAGTTCTTCAGCATTTTTTCCCCCTTTTGAACACTTTTAGAGATTGCTTACTGTGATTTCTTCAAAGCACCACAAATAATGTTTTGCACACCATTAACAGAAACAGTGAGAATTTAAAATCCATCATAATGGAGCAATAGCATAGCAGGTAGGGCATTAGCCTTGCATGCAGCCAACCCAGGTTCGATTCCCAGCATCCCATATGGTCCCCCGAGCACCTCCAGGAGTAATTCCTTAGTGCATAGCCAGGAGTAACCCCTGTGCATCAACAGGTATGACCCAAAAAGCAAAAAAAATTAAAATTTTTTTAAAAAATCCATTATAAGCCCTCCTACGTGCAGCATCACGCCCCTCGTTGCTGTCTGTGACCCCCACAAACCTGCTTTTTTTTTTTTTTTGTCTTTCTATACATGTCAGTATAGCAGTGCTGAGTTCTCGGTGGCATCAGTGCTTGGAACTGATCTGTCTCTGGCAGAAAGCCTAGAGGAGGGTTCTTGCTCACCTCCTTGGCAGAGACTTCCGGATGGAAAAGTCAGAGGCCAGGGTGGGCCCCTGCAGTCTCAGCTAGGTTGTGTGGCAGTCCTGTGTTCAGTTGGTTAACTTTTCCTGAGCCAATCCTGTGGCTTCCCTGTTTGCAGCCTTTGGGATTTCAGGGCTCTTGGCTCTTTTCCTGGGACATGAACACCCCGGTGTCCTTTCCCCACTTGCTCCATTATAAGGAACAAGCATAGGAGCTGGGAAACACGGAGAACTGTCAATCTCTGTCCACAGGAGCCAGGAAACATGGAGAGCTGTTCATCTCTGTCCACAGTATCCCTGAGAATTTCCGGTGCCCAGTGGAATTCAGGTGCAGGATAGTGTTTCTGTCCTGATGGTGCCAGGAGATCCTCAGGGGTCAGCTGGAGGCCTAGGGCTCCTTTATCCAGCTGTGTCCCTTGGGGACTGGCTTTTTCTGGAGCACGTTTGTGGAATTACAGCTTTCCCAGTGTCCCCAGCTTCAGCCCTGTCACGAGGACCAGATAGTATGTGGGTGAAAGGACTATTACATACGGCCACTGGTGAGCCCTGTGGACCTTGAGAGGCCAAGGGCAGTGCTTTGCAGCTGCTCACAGACCCACCAAGGACAGGGAGCCCAGGACGTGCCCTGTGTGGGCCGGCTCTTCTGGGGGCTCAGACTGGGATGGGCATATCAGTGGCGCTACCTTGGCATAGTGGCTAGGATTTCCCTTTGGAGGGCTGAACAATGCTCATGATTCTGATTGTGTATTATGTCTACACACACACACACACACACACACACACACACACACACACACACACACGGTTTGCTGATTTCTCAATTCCCACAGCAGATATCCTTGCAGATAATGAGTGCCCGGAGGCCTAGAGAGGACGAATCAAATCCCTTCTCAAGAACAGTGTGCTCTTTAACCAAAGAAGCAGAAAGGATCCAACCAGGACAAACCCTTGGCCGGGATTACAGAACTAATTAGGAAGCAGTCGAGGAGAGGGAGAGGAAATGAAAATCAGCTAGGGGTGACATAGGGACAGTGATGGAGGGTCGTTGGCATGTGTATGTGACAAGGAGCAGTCTCATCATTGCTGTAAATGTAAACTATTGTAACCTTAGCTAGACTCTATTTTTTTTAACTGCTTATTAGGATAAAGAGAGGAAAACTTGGGTACCGCTGCTGGTACCCTGTGTGTCTTACCACTCTATGTCCTGGGAGGCAGCAGAGTGGACAGACACAGCTATGGCCTGGAGGAAACCCCACCTCCCCACCCCACAGTGCTCCTGGCCCCAGGATGCGGGGAGGATGAAAGACTTACTTGTGGTCTTCACGCTTGCGATTTTCTCTTCAACCTAAGGAATTTGGTGGGGTTCCTGTTTACTTCCACTGCACTGATTAAAAAACAAGAATGTCACCGTTTCTTTATTGGCACAGAAAGGCCCCGGATCACGTCGGAGCCCCAGGATGCCGATGTCACCTCGGGGAACACCGTGTTCTTCACCTGCAGAGCCGAAGGAAACCCCAAGCCTGAGATCATCTGGCTTCGGAACAAGTAAGTGGGTGTTGGGTGACTGCCCTGGCATGCACTTGGGCGCTGTTGCTCACAGCTGGGCTGCACATTTCACCACCGCAGGCGCTCTGGATCCCACCCCTACAGCTGGGATCATACAAAGGAGAAAAAAAGCTTTGTCTCTTCATTGCTCTGAAATAGAAGCCGGGCCAGGGAGGCGCTTATGCTGAGTTCAGCTTCTGCGAGCTGTATTTTTCCCCTGGTCAGCGTGTTTGCACCTAGGGGGCTCACACATCCTGCCTGGGCTTCGAATGAGGAGGCTTCCAGATTCTTTTCAACCTGCCCATTTTCATCTGGCAGAGCCAGCGGGTCTGACCATCTGCTTCTCCTGCTTTGTACCTGGAGGCTGTGCCTGTCTGGCTCTGGCCTCCAGCTCAGGTTCCTGTATACCTGTCCCTGTGTGTGTGTGTCTGATTCGCTCTTAGACAGAGGCCTCTTCATGCACAAACAGTTTGATCTGAAGAGTGGAGGCAATAGTAGAGGATGAGGTTGGCTGCTCCAGGGGATCAGGGTTGGATCTTGAGGTCCTCCAGCCTCTCATTCAGCACTCCCAGACTTTCCAGAGTGAGCTGAATGCCTGAAAGAAGATCCTTAATGGGAGATAATTTTTCCTGGGTTATCTGCCCGACAGATAGTGCTCCCTCTGAGCAGAATCATTGCCATGGCTCGGCTCTCCACATTTCCACCTTGAGCTCATTGGCCCTGTTTTGTCTTGATGGAGCAAGTTTAGAGCTCAGACACTGACTGAGTCTTCCGGGGCTCCAGACCTGGACTGCATGCCACCTCACTGCTCACCTCAACTTCCCCCCCCCCCCCCCGCCCACAAACACACGGAATGTACTGGGCCATCTAGCTAAATGATGCTTGCAGGGAGGACCAGCAGAGAAGAGCGTGCATAACACCTGAGCCTGTCAGGTAAAGAGTGAAGACAGAGCCGGAACCCCCAGATGGAGATTTTGCCCTAGGCCTAGACTTGTTTTGCTCATAGCAGTGCTGGTATTGGACTTGGGCCCAGAGTGTGCGAAAACAACCTTTAGACACCTTGTACTCTTGAATGACTGAAATTGAAATGTAAAATCCAGAGTCAGAACTGGAGGAATTCTGAGACATTATCAAGTATACATTTAGAGGAAGAGAAACACCTGTTGACTCCAGCCCTTCACAGGGCCCTTTATAAATGAACTGATCAATATTGTAGGTTAGAGTAGCAAAGTAACTTATGGGGGGATGATAGGTCAAGGCCCAGGCCTGATTTTTTTTTTTCCTGCTGGGCTCTTTCCTCCTCCCACTGAAGACCCAGCCAGACAGTCTCCCCGCCGGGCCTCTCACCTGTGGGCCCATCTCCTCCCGATTCAGTCTCACCTCTGACTTGTCTCACTGAGTTCCTGCCGCACCTATCCACCTTTCTCACCTGTGTGCCTGTCTCACCTGCGGGCTCACTGAGTATATAGAAGGTAACCAAGTCACTTCAGTTACCTTCTCATTAGTGAGCCAGAGGTGACTGTTGCTTCTATAGGGAAAAAATTGTGAGAACATGTGTCCCTGGTGGTACGGGCTGGGTTGAGAGGATCTTATTTGGATACTAGGGATGACCTTTTGTTCATACTCATGTGAAATGTTTCTGTTCCATTCGGTTGAGTTAATTTGCCAGAACCCAAGCAGAATGTTTTGCCTACTCTCCTCTCTTTACATTTTGAGACTAGGACCCCTTTATTTTTGTTTTTATTGAGTCATCATGAAATACACAGTTATAAAGTTGTTCATGATTGGGTTTTACTCATACAAAGTTCCATTACCCGTCCCTTCACTAGTGTGAATTTCCCACCAGTAATGTGCCCAGTTTCCCTCCTGCCACCCCCCAGCCTGCCTCAATGACAGGCGCTTTCTCTCTCTCTCTCTCTCTTTCTCTCTCTCTCCCTCTCTCTCTCCTCTTTTGGGCATTATGGTTTGCAATACAGGTGCTAAAAGGTTATCCTGTTTGTTCCTTTACCTCCTTTCAGCATTCAGTTCTAGTTCACAGTGATTGTTTCCAACTATCATTGTCATAGTGGTCCCATCTCTATCCTAGTTGCCCCCTTCCCCACCACTATTTGGCAAACTTCCAGCCGTGGGTCATTCGTTCTGGCCCTTGTTTCTTCTGGAGATTAGGAACACTTAAAACATTACAAATGTCAGTACTGGAAGTCAGTATCTGAAATGATGACTAGGCTAGGGCTAGGGTCTAGCTAGGCTAAGGCCCTGGGGTGTCAGGACACAGGTAGTTTCCCAAGAAGTCCCAGTAGGATGTGGCTGCAGTGGGAAAAATATTTCCTGGGGTGACAACTTTTATGACCTTCGGTATCTGAGCCTACCAGCGCTGTCTTTACAGCAACGAGCTCAGCATGAAGACTGATTCCCGCTTAAACTTGCTGGACGACGGCACCTTGATGATCCAGAACACCCAGGAGACAGACCAGGGCATCTATCAGTGCATGGCGAAGAACGTGGCTGGAGAGGTGAAGACGCATGAAGTCACCCTCAGGTATTTTGGATCCCCAGGTACGTGGAAAGTGTATCACATGAGCTTCTTTTCAGAACTGCCCATCCCCAGAGGGCCAGGTCTCTGAACAGCCTCCTGGAACAGGGACCCCAGCATCACTGGGAAATCCTATTGTTACTTGGCTCCTTACTACGCCCTTAGTATGGTTCAAATAGTCCCTGGGGGCTCTGGTCTGAAGGGCCCTGACTGCCTCCTGACAGCCAGTCTTGCTATTAGAGAGTGGTGGAGGGGACGCTCTTGTGCTAAGGGCTTCGATTACTTAAAAAGAAGCCCCAAGGCTTATTTTGTTCCTCTGTTTTGGTTTGGATGACCATACCCTGTTCAGAGCCATGCTCTGCTCAAGGATCATGCATGGTATTGCTTCGGGTACCAGGGATAGAAGCCAGGTCAGCTGCGTGTAAGGCAAGAGCGGTTTCTGCAGTATGGTCTCTCTGACCCACCCCATCCTGTATTTTTATGCAAATTTCCAATGTGTGAAATATTGGCTCCTGATCTATAAAGATAGCCTGAGCCATAAAAAGTATAGTTGGGGGCTTATAATCAACGTAGGTCTCAACAAGTTCCGGCCAGGCCTGTGTGGTGTTTGTTTAATCCACAGCTTTGGGTGAAAATGCCAAAGTGGTTTTGTAGGAGAGTCCCGAGGATGTTCCAGACCCTTCCTTGCTTTGGGCAGGAAGTGCAGGTCACTTTGTATCTTCATGGGACTCCACCATCCCTCAATATAGACACAGAGGCTGAGTCCCAATTAGAGGCAGATGCTTTGTTACTGCCGCTGGGGAGATTTGCCCTCAGCCCTTAGCTCTGATTCTCTGGTGCCCTATTGTTCAGACCTATACAAAACAAGCCAGAAGGCAACGGAAGTGGTTTTGTTTCGATTCTTTACTCCATAAAAATTGGACCAATATATTGCTTAGTACCTCCCAGCGTAGTCATCATTAATAATTGTGCATGATAAGCACTCCTGGCTATCCGAGGAGGGCGAAGGGAAAAATTTCTAGCGATTATTTTTTTAGTTCAGAGGAAAGCAAAAGGAATATACTGCTACTGAATCAACGCTTTTAGTCTGCACCATTCCCCGAGGCATTTGGCACAGACTCACCTAAGTGGACCTGTGCCATTAAGAGTCAGCTCTGGCTCTGGAGGGAGCACATGCTTTAAACCCACAAGACACTGGCTGAGTAACATTATCGTCTATGTTTGAGAACAGAGGGTCATAACAGAAGATGAATAATGATCTTAATTAGGAGAATGGCTGTGTTAACAGGCAAATGGATTTCCCGAGGGGAGTATTTCTATGGCCTGAGAGGTCCAAATTTAGCCCCTTCTGGCATGCATTTTGTTCCTGTCTTAAGAAAAACCACCTTCGTGTCAGTGTCCTCATCTGCTGGGACCTGATGGTGGTGCTTTCTAAAGCATGTGTGAAGGATATCCTGGACCTGTGGCAAGGTGATTGCAGAGCCAGAATCTCACCAGGGACTGCGTGCATGGCACTGGCATCCACAGATGTGGGCCAGGCTATCCCCCCAGCCTATTTGACAAAGTCTCTGAACTATGGTTTTTGTATTATCACACAACTACAAAACTTTGCACTCCTGGCAATTATATGAAATACAGATTTCCATGTCTATAAGTTTCATTGGACCATATCCATCTCACTCGTTGACATTCAGTGTCTACTCTTTTTGCTACAGCACTGGGCAACATTGGGCGAGGCAGACTGTGTGGTCTGCAAGTTCATGTGTTCTCTGGCATGGGGGTCATGCTTGGAGTAATAATGATGGACCAATGTGATGTCTCCATAAAGTGCTTAAATCATTTTGAAACTTTGTTGTTTGGGAAACTCCTAACAAGTAGCCTGGACATAGAAGCGTTCAAAAAGAGTCTGTGGTTGAACTGGAGGAAATGAACCCAGAATTTTTGTTTTGCGTTGTACGCACAGCTCGGCCGGCCTTTGTCATCCAGCCTCAGAACACGGAAGTTCTGGTTGGGGAAAGCGTCACGCTGGAGTGCAGTGCCACAGGCCACCCTCTGCCCCGCATCTCCTGGACGAAGGGGGACCGCACACCCGTGCCTGACGACCCCCGCATCAGCATCACCCCGTCTGGGGGCCTCTACATACAAAATGTCGTGCAGGAGGACAGTGGCGAGTACACGTGCTTTGCAGCCAATAACATCGAGACCATTCATGCCACAGCCTTTATCATTGTTCAGGGTGAGTGTGAGTGAGCAGAGGCGCTGCTCTGGGTTCCTGACTCCCCGGACCAAGCTCCCGGGGTTCCCCAGCTCCTCCTGTCCTGTTTTCTTCCAACCACTGGCTGGCTGCCCTGTAATCTGCTTTAGTTTCACCTTTCCTCTTCCTGCCCTGATGCCTCAAGGCAACTTGGTAAATGATTTATTTTCTGAAGAGAACGTCAGGCTGGCTGCTGGGCTTGATTGTTTTGTGACTGTGTTATCCACGGCACCTCCAGCCTGGGTGAATCTAAATGTTTGCCAGCTGCAAGCAGCAGACAGGCCGGGATGTATTCAACTAGTCAGCAAGTTCTGCCTACCTCTGGGAACTGCCCAAACAGTAGTTTGGGGAACATGTGTAGAGATGTAGACACACACACATGCATGTGTGTATAATTTTCAGGTTCTCTGGGCTGTATTCTGGTATGTCACAGTCTACCAAGCACTACTGGAAGTGATGTCTGAGCACAGATAGGAACTGTCCCCAGGCACCACTGGGTGTGGCCCAAAACAAACAAATAAACAAACAGAGAACTAAATTTAGCAGTTGACTCGCTTATAAATGTTTTAGTTGTTTTATATAACTGCAGCAGCCAACTTTCAGCTATTCAGTAACAGGCATGAGATATGGAGAGAGCCTCACTTCCCAGGCCCGGCTCATCACCTTTCCACCCACACCAGGTCCCACTCCATTCACCTGTTGTTAATTCATCTTTCCAGTTTTTTCTTGGTACATACATACATACATACATACATATATATGTGTATACACACACACACATACACAGAGCCTGGCAAGCTACCCATGATGTACTCAATATGCCAAACACAGTAACAAGTCTCACGAAGGAAACATTACTGGGCCCGCTCGAGCAAATTGATGAACAAAGGGAAGACCGTGACCGTGACCATGTACATATTGCACTCAGGAATCATTCCTGGCAGTGCGCAGGGTACCATATATGGGATGCCAGGGGTTGAACCCAGGTCAGCCATGTGCAAGGCAAGTGCCCTACTCACTGTACTTTACTATCTCTCTGGGACCCAGCACTTATAATTTTGGCAGTCATGCCATTTGGTTTTTAGTGTGTGTGTGTGTGTGTGTGTGTGTGTGTGTGTGTGTGTTTGTAACTTCTACAGAAATGAACTCATACTGGATATTCTGCAAAGTGGCTTTTAAAAAAAAATCAGTACCATATGATGATGACTTTTATCTCTGTACAAAGTTGTATTTCAATTACATTGGTGGGGCAGGGGGAAAGGGAAGGAATTGGGGTCACATCTGGCAGTGCTCTGGGGTTACTCTTGACTGTGTGCTTAAAAGGTTGCTCCAAGATTGAATCTGGGCTTCCTGCTTGCAAACCATTGATCTCTCTCTCTCTCTCTCTCTCTCTCTCTCTCTCTCTCTCTCTCTCTCTCTCTCTCTCTCTCTTTCCCTCCCCTCCCCCCCCGCCATGTGGAATTTTTCCCCTCTATTTGCAAAAAATAATGATGGTTGAGGAATGAGATGAATCAGTTTAGCATCAGTCTGCTTCCATATGTTGAAATGGACTCACCGCCCTCTCATCTGTGGTAGCTGGCCACCTTAGGACCTGAGTCTTCCTGTCCTTTCTCAGTAAGGTGCAGCAGAGCTTGGAGATCTATACCTCTCTCAGTTCCCTTCCTTTTCTCTCTCAAGCATCTTCTGTATCTGCTTCTGGGAACCTGGGCTGGAGCCTCCTGCCAAACTCCTTCATTTCTTGCTGCTGATGCAGAATGTGACTCCAGGGGGGAGGGGAAGGGCAATGTGGATGTGGTTCCTCTGAACTATCTTTCAAGCTTCATGTTTCCAATGTTTCCTTCCCAAAGCTCTTCCTCAGTTCACTGTGACACCTCAGGATCGAATTGTAATCGAGGGGCAGACGGTTGATTTCCATTGTGAGGCAAAAGGCTACCCACAGCCGGTCATCGCCTGGACAAAAGGAGGTGAGGTGGGCACTGGGCCTCCCTGGCCTTGCCTTTTGCTCCCCTCTTTTCCCCCACTACACGACTCAGGCTAATAGGCTCTGTTTTTGTGGGGGCAAGGCATCCCCACGTCTTCTGGCCAGAGTGGAGCTCTGGTAAGTCCTGGGGTCAGTGTATCCCTTTCACAAACCTCACACGTAGCATTCTGGCAGGATCTGTACATATGTGTCTTTGAAAGAACTTGGAGGTATTCGTTCTTCCACTACCTCATTTCTGTCTCCCCCCAGTAGTGTTTAAATCTTGCCTTAAGGAGATACTTAGGACATTTTAGGGGGTAAGGAAGGCTTAGCCACACCCAACAGTGCATGCTTGGGGGTTCCTCATTGTGATGCTTGAGGAACTATGTGGTGCCAGGAATTGAACCAGGGTCAGCCACATTCAAGGCACACGCAAGGAAAACATGTTACCCTGGTACTATCTCTTTAGCTTAAGGCTTATGAAATTGAATACATGGAATAGTACTTTCTGGAGTGGTGGTAGACTTCTAACAGTATAAAAATATATAACAAACTCTTGTGCTCCTCCTTGAATTCCCAGTTCTCTTGTCATTTCTTTATGCAGTGATGTGACGGATGGTCACTTTGCTCCACTTGCTCTTTATTTTTGTTTTGCTCTTATTTGGGGGTCACACCTAGTGGATGCTCAGGGACTATTTTTGACTTACCACTCCCGGTGGTGCTCAGGGCCTTGCCAGGGATTGAACTTGGGCCTCCTGAGTTCCAGGACATGCTCCCACCCATCGAGCTATCTTCCCAACCTACATTGTTTCTCTGAGTGTGCTCTTACCCTCTTTTTCCAGCTGGGCACCTCTGGCCACTTGACCTGGTGACAGTGTCTGTGCTGCTGTGTTTCCCAACAGCTGCCTGGCTGCCTTAGCTGGGCTGGAGGCAGGTGCGGACATTACCGGACCTCTAGGGCTCCAGGGCTGGAATCAAGACAGGTTCCTGAAAATTGTACTGATGGCCCCTCCTGGAAACCTGATCCTCCTACCCCCACCTTAAAGGCCCCTTCTTAGGGACCCTGCAGAGTTCTCCAGCTTCCATGTGGCCTTGGCTTTCAAGTCTGGGTAGGACAAGCTCCACCCTTAATGGTTAGGATCTTATTGGGGCACTAGCTGCCTTTCATTGCCAGTCTCCCCCAGCCCCTTCCCAAAGCTCACTCTGTCTCGATCCAGCCTGTCGAGAATGCCTCCCTGCATGCAGCACCCTCAAGTCCACCCTCTGGCTCCTCCCTAATTAACATGGTCTCCCAGTGTTCTGGAGAAGTTTCTGGAAGGCAGGACCATGCCCATTTGGTTGCTGACCTGCCTCACCCTCCACCCCACAGTGCTGCATGCAGGTCAGGCACCACACGTGGGTATTTGTGGGTGAGCACAGGATTTCCTGACCCAGCGCAGAACCCCTGATGGTCCGGCTCCCAACTTGGGCAAAGGTCCTTTTGGATTGATCCTTGCATTGTTTCCGACAAGTGTTGCTGGCCGACCCCTGAGTTTTCTGCTCCAGTCTGTCCGTCCTCTTTCCCTGTGACCCATGTGACTAATGCAGCCCCTTTTCTCCACCCTCCCCCGCCCCACCCCCCACCCCACCCCCTCTCAGGGAGCCAACTGTCTGTGGACAGACGTCACCTGGTGCTGTCATCGGGAACACTGAGGATCTCGGGCGTGGCCCTGCATGACCAGGGCCAGTACGAGTGCCAGGCTGTCAACATCATTGGCTCACAGAGGGTGGTGGCCCACCTGACAGTGCAGCCCAGAGGTATGTACGTGGCTTCTCGCCAGGAACCCGGTTGCTGGGTGCAGAGCAGCGAGCAGGAGAGGCAAGCTCTGCAGCTAGTGTTGGTACCACATCTCTGCCTATGTGCAAAGAGCCCGCTTGTCCCTTGGGTGAGAATGGGCAGGTCCCCTTGTGTGTGTTTACAAGCATGGCTCATTTCCTCTTCCACTTAGTTAGTGAGAACATTCGCTTGTGTGTACTTTTATATTTTATTTAGTTTGGGTGAGGCTTGTACCCAGTTCTGCTAAGGTTGACTGGGCAAAATAAATCTGATGGGTTTTCCATGGGCCAGTTAACTTTTAGAGAAGGCTGTTCTCTGTGCCTTTTTTGTGTTTTCCTTTGGGGGGGAGGGGTCCCAACAGTGCTCCTGGGGTTTCTGCTTGCAAAACCTGTACTCCAGCAAATGATGCCATTTCTCTGGCTTCTTCTGGGGGCCTCCTCTGGGGTCGCTTTAGAAGTATCTCTGACCCCTTTGCTTTCCAGTCACCCCAGTATTCGCCAGCATCCCGAGCGACATGACGGTCGAGGTGGGCACCAACGTTCAGCTCCCGTGCAGCTCACAGGGAGAGCCCGACCCGGCCATCACCTGGAACAAGGTACAGCTGGGAAGTGGGGTGACAGGAGCTTTCTGCACTCAAAGTTGTGGCCGCACGGACTTGAGAATTGTGAGCCGGGAGGGAACAGCTCTGCGGGCATGCCTTTGAGGCAAATCTACCTGATGTTCTCATTTTCTCAGCCTTCTGGCAGCAATAGCAAAGAACTCCTGTTGCTTGACCCTTGATCTGTCATCTGGAGGGAAAGTTTTTTGGTGCTGCTTTTCTGTGTTTTGTTTGTTTTGTTTTGTTTTTGTTTTTTTTTATTAAGTGCAACACAGACTGTGTATTGATGTTTACACATGATAGCAATTTGAACATCACCAGGTATAGCTCATGGTCCAGCACCACAAGGCCCCGAAGGCGGCACCCTTTTTTGCCCTTGCATTGAACCCTCAGAGCTAATTGTCATCTGAAGTGCTTCCATGGCCCTGACATGCACTGGGGACAGCCCAAAATAAAGTAAAACAAAACTCCTCAGCAAGTACCTATTTTTCATTTATTTTTCATTTGGGGTGTTTATTTTTTTTGGGGGGTAGGTTAGGTCATACCCAGGTCATACCAGGGCTGATACTGGCTCTGTGCCCTGTGCTCATAATGTGCTGCCCCGGATTCAAACCAGGATCATGGCCAGTGCAGCTGCACGCAAAACAACTGCTTTACCTCCTGTGCTCGCTCGGGTGCCAATAGCAAGCACCTCTAGCCGGAAAGGTGTATTGGGAAGCCAGGCATGGCTGTGCATGGTGCCCCTAGGACAGCAGATTCATTTAAATAAATTGTTTTACATTCATTTTGAATATTTTGGTTTGGGGACCATCTCCAGTGATGTTCAGGGGTTAGTCCCAGTTAGTGGTCCTTGGGGAACCATATGAGATGGCAGGGATTGAACCTGCATAAGCCATGCATGCAAGGTAAATACCCTCCTCTCTGTACTATAGCTTCAGCCAGGGGAGAGTAGATTTGGGCTAAGGAGCTGGTTTACCGTAGCTTCCTCCCGGGGCCCATCATTCTGACCACTTCCCTCTGGGCAGCTCAGGCATCTTGTCTCCTAGAGTTCTTCCCCCACACCACCCATGGGAACTACCATGGGGTGTAAGAGAACTCCATCCCACTGGGCATGCATTCTGAAGCTTCTCTCTTCTCTGAATGGACCTGGGCACAGCTCTTAAGCACACACATTTGTGAGGTTCTAAGGTGGGGGGTTGACTCCAACTCAGGATCAGCAGTTTGTGCTCCCTCTCCTCATCCCTGCCTTCTGTTCCTCTATCTCTGCAGGATGGGGTTCAAGTGACTGAAAGTGGGAAGTTTCACATCAGCCCCGAGGGATTCTTGACCATCCACGATGTGGGCACGGCGGACGCCGGCCGCTACGAGTGTGTGGCCAGGAACACCATCGGGCAGGCCTCAGTCAGCATGGTGCTCAGTGTGAATGGTGAGACATCTCAATAAGTGCTCCAGAGGACATAATGATGGTGGGAAGGAGGGTGGGGTGGGGGGGGGGGTGGAACACAGCAGGAGGGTCTCCTGCATCCTATCAGCCCAGGCTCAGATGGGTCCTATGAGAGACCGTGCACCCTTACTGCAGGACGAGTCTGGATCTCAGGTGCAAGGTGGGAGCAGGCTAGGGACTGTTATTTGAGTGGACAGTCCTTTGGGGCTGGGTCAGGCCAGGCATGCCCCCCAGCTGCCTCCTCTGCTGTGCTGAGACCACAAGCCACTGTGGTCTGTTCACCCAGCAGAGCTCTCTACCCATCGGTGATCTCGTGGTTTAGTGGTCACCCCAACCCTTCCAGTCTGACAACGTGTAATTTACAGCCATTTGACAGATGTGCAGATGCCATCCACACTGTCAAGAACCCATTCTCTCTCTATTCTGGGCTCGGCATCACACATTTCTGGGGTGAGCTAAGTTCCGGGTGCCTTTAATGTCAGCCTCCAAGTACCCTCCTTCAGTCCCCTACCCCGGATCCTGTCTGCCAGCCCCTCCTCCTCCTCCTCCTCCTCCTCCTCCTCCTCCTCCTCCTCCTCCTCCTCCTCGTCCTCTCAAGCATCTGTTCCTGGGCAGGACTGAATACGGTAGGTCTGTTTGACCCTTACTGTCACCCTCCTAGCAATGCAAACACTCCAAGGGGCTCCCCAACTCTTTCCCGTGTTTTCTGTGGCCTCCAAAAGGAAACCTTCTTCAACAGCTTTTGTCTCTGTGGTCTAATGCCCACTCTAGCTGCATGCTTACAGCTCTCCAGAATCCCTGCACCAGCCAGAAGACAGCTCTGTGCTCCCTGACCCCCGTATAGATCCCAGCCTCACTGCATAAACTGGACTCTGTGCTGCTCCCCCCTCATTATAGGCAGGAAACAGGTCTGGTGGCCACAGCCCTGCTTGTGTCTGTATTTTAACTTTTCCACAGGCAGGAACAAATCATCTCTCTCCTAGCCCCAGAGCACTCAGACAGAAACAGTATTCTGGCAGTTGGTTGCTTTGTGTTTGCTTGTTTCTTAATTTTGAGCTAAGGGTCACCCCCTAGCAGGTGCTCAGGGGACCATGTGCTCAAGGACCATGCAGTGCTAGGGATTAAACCTATGTCTCCTGCATGCAAAGCATGTGTTCCAGCCCTTTGAGCTATCTCTTCAACCTGTCTGATCAGTTTATGTGCATATACTACTAGAGGCAGCCTGGAGCTGTGAGTACCTGCTCAGTAGGGAATAAATGGAGATCCATTTTATTTTGTTTGTTTTAAGGATAAATGTGAAATCAATTTATTCCCTCCCCACCATATGTTGTGTATAAAATGGATGTAATATTAAGTTGGTGAACAGTCTCATGTGAAAATAATTTGGACATACTTTTGTACTTAAGAACTAAATCTGTACTGGGGCTGAAAAGATAGTATAGTGCGTAGCAATCCTGACATACATGCAGCTGATCCCCTAGTTCAATCTCTGGTACCCCAGATGGTCTCCTGAGCCCTGTCAGGAGTGATTCCTGAGAACAGAGCCAGGCGTAATCCCTGAGTACTGCCAAACAAACAAATAAAAAATAACTCAGAATGGGGCTGGAGCGATAGCACAGTGTACCCAGTTTGCCTTGCATGCGGCCAACCTGGGTTCGATCCCCGGCATGCCATATGGTCCCCGAAGCACCACCAGGAGTAATTCCTGAGTGCAGAGCCAGGAATAACCCCTGAGCATCGCTGAGTGTGACCCAAAAAGCAAAAAAAAACTCAGAATGGATAATGGATAATGAATCATCACACTGAGAAGAACGATGGTTAATCAAATTCTCTGCACTTGTCAGTCATAAGAGCAAACCGAAGAAGACACAGAGTGAGCCTGAGACTGAAAATCATTCTCTCAGGAGAAACAGAGCAGGAGGAAGTACATGCAGCATGGAGGAAGGCCTTCCCAGGGCTAAGTGTAGGAAACATTTCAATATGGTTATTTTCAGTCTCACTCCACAGTGTATTAAAGGAGAATATGCTGGTCTTAAGATATTCTTCCTACTTATCTGGCGTGAGCAGTTTTGTAAAAGGTGGGGTTTCAATAAATTTATTTATCAAAGTCTAAGCATTGACAGTCAGTAAAAAGATATGAGAGGATCATGAAGGGCGATATGTTTATGTCTGCACGTATGTGTTTGCACATGTGCGTGCATGTGTCTGTCATGCATACATGTGTGTGAGACAATGAGGGTACCTGATCTGAAGGCTGACAGGTCAGTTCATGTGAGGGGATCATGACCAGGACTGTCTGTGAAGAGAGGAGAGAGTGAAGTCCAGGGTCCCAAGGATGTGTTAGCTTTGGGGAAGAACACACAGAACTAAAACATCTCTCTGCTCTAGAGTATAGCCCCAGGCTGACTTGAGTTCATGCCTCTTATAAGAACATCAGAACTTGACGACTGCATTTTCTTCCTCTTTCATGACCTTTATGGGATGGTGAGGCTGTTAAGTAGGCTATTCCACATAGTTTGAAAAGGGTTTCTAGTGGAATTCATGGTGGTCATTTAAGCTTGGTTTGCAAAATAGACGTTAACTTCGGAGGGAAGTCTGCCTTTAGTCTCAATGATGTAGCGTCTAGACTTTATTTTATGAGTCGCTGGTGACGCGTGTCTTCCTGTTTTCCCAGTCCCCGATGTCAGTCGCAATGGGGACCCATTTGTAGCCACATCGATTGTCGAAGCAATTGCCACTGTTGACAGAGCTATAAACTCAACCCGGACACACCTGTTTGACAGGTACTGTGGAATGGAAGCACAATTCGGGGGGGGGGGGGGGTGCGGTTATGGAATGCATGCTATTCTGAAACACCTGTTTTGGCTTGTTTCGTCCGGGGGAAAAAAAACATTTTATTTAAAAATAACAAAAATGTTAGCCTTTGACTTTGCTGGGGATTACAAAAATAAGGACATGTACTCTCCAAGTAGAAACTGAACTATGATTCACAACCCACCCTCCTCCCAAAGTCTCCATTTATTCCTTGGTTTGTTAGTTAAAAAAGATTTGGCAAAAACAAAATATTTCGGAAGTTCTTAACATGTTTAGTTTGGCAATTCGGAAGTGGGTTTTTTTTTTTTTTTGGTTTTTACATCTTAATTGAAATACGTTTGTTCTCTCTATTGACGCAATTAATTATTTGTTTTTAGTGTCTTTGTTTTTTGTTTGTTTGTTGCCTTCCACTTCGGATGAGTAAGGTACAGTACATCTCGTCCATAGATAGTAGCTACAGAAATATTAAACAGAAATACTTTCATTTGTGGAAACCTGTGATTTGTCCCCAGTAATTGTGTCCTTCTTCCCTTTTTTTTGCCATCTGCACCATGGTTTAGCCGTCCCCGCTCTCCCAATGATCTGCTGGCCTTGTTCCGGTATCCGAGGGACCCGTACACCGTGGAGCAGGCGCGGGCAGGAGAGATATTCGAACGGACCTTGCAGCTGATTCAGGAGCACGTGCAGCATGGCCTGATGGTGGATTTGAATGGAACGAGTCAGTACCCTGCCGGACCTTCCTCCCTCTCCTCCGCTGGTGCCCTGTATTTACACTGACCCCCCAGCGCTGCCCCTAGAATGCGAGTTGCCTTCGGGTCCACCCTCTGCATGGGGCAGAACGACACTGGAGAGTCTTGGGTTAAGTGGGGCTCCTGGTACTCAGTGGTGGGCTCTGAAGAAACCACAGGGTGTGCTAATAGCTCTCTGTCCCTAAGCTGGGACTGGTGGGGCCGACTTTGCAGGTCTGTACGTCCCAGTGACAGGTGACTGTGAGCAGGGATGCATGGAGGGTTTCTGCAGCTGGAGATGGCATATATGCTTCCCAGAAATGGCTGCAGGGACTTAGCCGCTTCACTCTTATGCGGCTCCAAAAGCAGGCATGTGTCAGGAATGGTGGCATTGCCACTGGGGCTGCTGCAGGAAGGCCCCTGGCTAGTGGCAGCTCACATCCGTCACGCACCCCCAGCATGGCAGCTGTACCAGCAGGAGTGGGCCCCGTGGAGGGAGAGACTGCTCAAAGGATTTCTTGCTGTGACATTACTTGGTGTTTTTGACGAGCTTACCTTTCCCCTCAGGGCCACTGTAGCACTGCAGCACTGTCCTCCCATTGTTCATCCGTTTGCTCGAGCAGGCACCAGTAACGTCTCCATTGTGAGACTTATTGTTACTGTGTTTGGCATATCAAATACGTCACGGTTAGCTTGCCAGACTGCCGTGCGGGCGAGATACTCTCGGTAGCTTACCAGCTCCCCGAGAGGGGTGGAGGAATTGAACACATGTCGGCTGGGTCGACTGCATGCGTGCAAGGCAAATGCCCTACTGCTGTGCTATCCCTCTAGCCCAGGACCAGACACTTCTCATACTTTCTTCAACAGAAGTGTGGGTCCCTAGAGGACCCCTTTAGGGATCACTTCTCCCCTTCCTTGGGCAGAGTGATTACTGAGCCCTCCTGAGGCTTTTGTGATCTTGGGGCTGGTTTGTGGCTGAGGGTTGGAGTGCTAGCAGCGCACTTATATGCCCCCCCCCGGAACTGCTTCCCCACCAGCTATTGCCAGTTCAGTGGGGTCACCCTCTTGTGATAGGGGTCACTCTAACCTGGTGCGGTGGTCCCAGCCCACTACCTGCCAGGATCACCCTATTTCTTTGGCTTCAGCTAATGGTTCAGATATTTTCGTGTGTCTTGGAGTGTCTCAGTGGGCTGCTCCAGAAAGCCATCTGAGGTCGCACCCCGTATGCCCACTTCAGGCCTGTATTGCTGTCAGCTTAAACTTTCGGAAAGTCTGATAAAGAAATCAGACGTGTCTAGTCTCCAGTCTCATGAGGTGGCTGCATTGATTTCCTTTCTCTCTAACCAGCTTTAGTGTCCCAGCTCCCTTCTTTCATCCACCCAGCCCCCTCATGCTGCACTTAGGGTCCAGTGCCTGCTCTTCTCCCAGGTCTTGGAGGATGCAGTTGCCACAAAGGGCGTCAGGGCTCTGAGCTGCAGGGCAGGGAGGAGGAGGAGGGCTAGAGCCTGCGCATGGGAAGGAAACCTCAGGACCTCTTCGGGAGCCTGGGAGCTTCGAAGAATAAATGACAGTGGGTGACTCCTGAGAGGTGCTGTTCTAGCAGCAGCCTGACACAGGTGAGGCATGAGCTACGTGCATGCTGCGTACTTCCGCCCTGGAAGATGCTGGAGGAGGAGGAGAAGGAGGAAGAAGACGAGGTAGAGGAGGAGGAAGAGAGCCACTGACTGTGAGGCGAGCCCAGGGTTCAGCATATTTGGAACATTCATTAGAGGACAAGCCAGTGGCCAATGTGGCTACAGCAGCCATGAGATAGGGAAGGTTCAGGGCGCTGGCCAGAGGGGCCAAGGAGGAGACATGAGGATCATGTGTTTTGGCTTGCAAGAGCTGCCCGAGTGTGGTGCCCAGCATATGGGTCTGCATGAGGGAGTTGCAGGGCCACCAAGGCTCGGCCTTCATGGAGCCGCCAAGAGCAAGGGGACAGTGCTGGCCCAGGAGGCTAGGGAGAGGGCAGGGTTCCTGGTGGGGTTCTGTTTGCTTATTCAGATCTGGGGGTCACTCTCAGTAGTGCTGAAGAATTGAAGTGGTGGAGATTGAAGCCAAACTTCTCTGAGCACTCTCCCTGGCCCTGTTTGTGTTTTGTAAGGATCGCCCCTTACAAAAGGGGACTGGGGTGGGTGCTTTTCTACCTGAGCATCTGAAGCACCTTTTTGTGTCGCCCCAGGGATGCCCTTGGGCAGAGGGCACAGATTTGGCCTGGGTGTGAATATAGGTGAGTCGGAGTCAGGACGACTTGAGGAAGTTTGGCTTGGGAGAGGACTCGGGTGGGTGAGTGGCCACCTTTCCTGTGGACGCTTACGCAGGAGTCCCACGACCTTTACCTCCCCTTGTACTCATGCGAACCTCCACTGAGGAAGTACCTGTGGAATGCAACAAATGAAATGGTGTTCCACAAATAGCTTTTCCTTGGTATGTTTCTGTGTTACGAAGCAGTTTAGATTCACCCCTTATTCTTGTTTTCTTCTTTTCTTTTTCCTATTCTCCTTTCTTTCCTTTCCTTTCCTTTCTTTTCTTTTCCATTTTCTTTTTGGTTTGTTTGCTTTTGGGGGAATGGGGGGGGACAGGGAGCATATCCTATTGATTCTCAGGGACTATTCCTGGCTCTGTGCTCAGGAGTGACTCCTGGCAGTGCTTTGGCAAACTACACATGGTGCTGGGGATTTGAACCAGGGTTGCGGCAAGTGCAGTACCTCCTGTACTATCTCTCTCTGGCCAAAGTGCATTTTCTTACATCTTAAGATTTTGACCCGAGTGGCTTGTTTATATTTTGAGTTGGTTTGGGGGGCTGCCAGCCTAGCAGTGGTATGGGGGAAGGAGGAATCCTTCCAGCAATGCCCTGACAGTTTGGTGTGTGGACCCAGTGATGCAGTGCTGCTTGGGTCAGTGGGACAAGGGAACACCAAGGCAATACCTAATAGTGTTCAGAAGACTATGCAGTGCCAGGGGTTGAACCCAGGCCCTCACACTGGCAAGGCAAGCACTCCACCCCTTTGAGCAATCCTGCTGGGCCCTGAGAGGATTTCTCTTTTGTTTGCTTTTCATTTTAATTTTGTTTGGGGCAGTGCTCAGAGCTTAGCTCTGGCTCTCTGTTCAGGGGTTTCTCCGGATTGTGCTTGGGGGACCACATATGGTTCTGAGCCACGTGCAAGGCAAGTGTCTGAACCCTCTGTGGGTATATTTGTATGTGGCTCTGCATGAGTGTAAGTGTACGGGTGGCATGCTTCTGTGAGCGAGTATGCAAGCATGATCAGTGTCTGTGGGGGTTAGTATATGTGTATGCAGGACTTTGCCCTCAAGCCATGACTTGAGGCTGTGGGCAGGAGACAATTGGCACCAGTGTGGGCTGCCTTTTCCATGCCCTATTCGGGTGTTAGGCCCATCCTGCCATGCCCGTTCCTACCTATTTGTGGCATCATGCCCACATCTGTCACTGTCATGATCTCAGCTTACCAGTTCCTACAGGAGTCATAGGGAAGTCATGGGGACCACCAGTGTCTGCCACGTGGGTGGTGGACTCAACCATCCCCCCACCTCTGCTCTGTTTCAGGTTACCACTACAATGACTTAGTGTCCCCCCAGTATCTGAGCCTGATCGCCAACCTCTCAGGCTGTACAGCCCACCGGCGCGTGAACAACTGCTCAGATATGTGCTTCCATCAGAAGTACCGGACCCATGACGGCACCTGCAACAACCTGCAGCACCCGATGTGGGGTGCCTCACTCACCGCCTTCGAGCGCCTCCTCAAGTCCGTGTACGAAAATGGGTTCAACACCCCTCGGGGCATCAACCCGGGCAGGCTGTACCACGGGCACCCGCTGCCCATGCCACGCCTGGTGTCCACCTCGCTCATCGGTACCGAGACCATCACCCCCGATGAGCAGTTCACGCACATGCTGATGCAGTGGGGCCAGTTCCTGGACCACGACCTGGACTCCACGGTGGTGGCGCTGAGCCAGGCCCGCTTCTCCGACGGCCAGCACTGCAGCTCGGTGTGCAGCAATGACCCGCCCTGCTTCTCGGTGGCCATCCCCCCCAACGACCCCCGCGTCCGGAACGGGGCACGCTGCATGTTCTTCGTACGCTCCAGCCCTGTGTGTGGCAGTGGCATGACGTCCCTGCTCATGAACTCCGTGTACCCCCGGGAGCAGATCAACCAGCTCACCTCCTACATCGACGCATCCAACGTCTACGGGAGCACGGATCACGAGGCCCAGGCCATCCGCGACCTGGCCAGCCACCGCGGGCTGCTGCGGCAAGGCATCGTGCAGCGGTCGGGCAAACCCCTGCTGCCCTTCGCCACGGGGCCGCCCACGGAATGCATGCGCGACGAGAATGAGAGCCCCATCCCCTGCTTCCTGGCCGGGGACCACCGCGCCAACGAGCAGCTGGGCCTCACCAGCATGCACACACTGTGGTTCCGGGAGCACAACCGTGTGGCCGCCGAGCTGCTGGGGCTGAACCCCCACTGGGACGGCGACACCATCTACCACGAGGCGAGGAAGATCGTGGGGGCCGAGATGCAGCACATCACCTACCAGCACTGGCTCCCCAAGGTGCTGGGGGAGGTGGGCATGAAGATGTTGGGTGAGTACCGGGGCTATGAGCCCAGCGTCAATGCTGGCATCTTCAATGCCTTCGCCACGGCTGCCTTCAGGTTCGGGCACACGCTCATCAACCCTGTGCTTTACCGCTTGGACGAGAACTTCGAGCCCATCGCCCAAGGCCACGTGCCTCTGCACAAGGCCTTCTTCTCGCCCTTCCGCATCGTCAACGAGGGTGGTATCGACCCACTCCTGCGGGGCCTGTTCGGCGTGGCAGGGAAGATGCGTGTGCCCACACAGCTGCTCAACACCGAGCTGACGGAGCGCCTCTTCTCCATGGCACACACCGTGGCCTTGGACCTGGCCGCCATCAACATCCAGCGGGGCCGGGACCACGGCATCCCGCCCTACCACGACTACCGCGTCTACTGCAACCTGTCATCCGCCCATTCCTTCGAGGACCTGAAAAATGAGATCAAAAACCCTGAGATCCGGGAGAAACTGAGACGGTGAGTCTAGAGCCGCCTGGCTCTCCCCTGCCCTTCCCTCTGTCTGGTGGGATGGGAAAGAGGGAGCCCCAAGTGCGTGGGCGAGCCACTCTTGTTGCTAGGTTTGATTTTTTTAGGTTTGAGGCTGAGGCAAAAGTTTGGGAGGAGACTTTGTGGGCGGGAGGATCATAGCCACCTGGGAGATGAATTCAGGGTTCCCATGAGCTTATCAGGCAGGTGAGGGTGCCAGCATGGGAGACTGTTTGGAGTTTGAAGGGAGAGACACCAACCACTCTCCTGGAGGGCAGTAGTTCTTGGCCCAGCCCACCAGCCCCAGACTTGCAACCTCTTCCTGAGCTTGTAGCATTGCCATGCCCAGTGCTACCACCAACCTCTGACACACTGAGTGACAGACAGCTCTAGTCCATTGCAGGCAAATCTCCTTGGCCTGCAGTGGTGACACTGTGTGAGGTGTCCTGGCATCGGGACTCTAGGGCCAGGGATCCCAGGAATCTGGGGGCGATGTAGGTGCAGGATCACTGCACAGCCCATAGTTCAGCTTGGGGGCCCTTTGTTTCAGGAACACAGCTTCGCCAATATCAGTCTCCTTCCTGACCATCACTAATTAGATGTAAATTCTCCCATCATTCATCCATTCTCCTTTCTCTTCCTGTTTTGCATGCCCTCCCTTTCACATATTCTTGTGTGTGTGTGTGTGTGTGTGTGTGTGTGTGTGTGTTACTACCAGCAGAGTGTTCTGGGGACCATGCAGCGCCAGGGAACAAACTTGGCACCTCATATACCATTTGTCCTACTGAGTTGTCTTCCTAACTCTCACTCTCTCTCTCTTTTTTTAAATTGAATCACCGTGAGATGCAGTTACAAAGTGTTCATGTTTGAGTTTCTTTCATGTAATGATCAAACACCTATCCCTTCACCGGTGTACATTTTCCACCACCAGTGTCCCCAGTATCCCCCCCCCCAGTTCCACCCCTCTTCCTGCCTCTATGGCAGACAGTTTCCCCCATACTCTTTCACTCTCTCTCTACTTTTGGGCATTATGGTTTGCAATACAGATACTGAGAGGCCATCATGTTTGGTCCTTTGTCTACTTTCAGCACACATCTCCCATAAACCTCTTTTTTGTGTTCTTAGTACTGATTCTTTTGATCTCAGTGTCTTCACAGAAATAATCACTCATTAGAGGGTTTCCTTAACTGTCGCTTCCCTGTAGGTCTTGTGGTCATGGATTCAGTGGACAGATAACTGTGTAGTTAAGACAGTTTCATTCAAAGGAAAGAATAGCTCAGAAAAAAATTAATACACTCTTGTTCAGATGCACTTTGCTCACTTTCAGACCTCCCTCTAGTTCCCCAAAGGGAAGTGTTTTTGGTTTTCATCTCAAGTCCCTCACTCAGTACTCAACTTGAATATCCTCTCCTTGGGCACTGACCCATTCCTTCTTAGAGGCACATGGAAGCTTATTCAGAATCCAGGCACATTTGGAATAAATGAATTTATGCTCTGCTAAGTTTAATATGATCCAGTGCTTATTTAAATAATACCATAAAATTGCTGGCATAAGTATGTCAGTGCAATGTACTCTTTTTTTTGGTCATACTTTTTTTGCTTAATTAAAATTTTTGTGCACGCTATCTAGTTTTTGTGATTAACTCTCCTTCTTTCCTTCTTGTCCAAGCCGATACGGTTACTTCCCCAGTTATTTCTTCTATTTGCCAAATGTATTTCCAAACAGTTCTCAGGGGCTGGGTGGCGTGCCAGCTACCTCTGCTGGTGGGCAGGCAACTCTGGAAAGGGAAATCTACATGATTTCCCATATGTGGACCCCTCACTTTTCTTACCTGCTCTTATCAAGAGGAAAAAAAAGAAGAGGGGGTTCAAACATGAGGGTTAGAGAATGTGGAGCGGTGGTTTTGGATGAGAAGCCTGTGCTCACCTTAAGGAGGCCTGAGAAAGCCCTAACCACCTAGCCTGACCTGCTTTATTGGCATACCATTAAAGTCCTTCCATTCCGGGACCATGGCAGGGGATCAGGGAGGGGGCAGTGGTGCTGCCGTGCACCGTAAGGGTGGAAGCCTCACCCCATTCTTTCCTTTTCTATAATATTTCTGGGAATTTGGGGGGGAGGGTCACTCTTAGTAGTGCTCAGGGCTTACTCCTGGCCCTGCAATTAGGTATCACTCCTGGTGGGCTTTGGGGACCATATAGGGTGCTGAAGATCAACCCTTGTTGACTGCTCACAAGACAAGTGGCCGACACACTGCACTATCACTCTGGTCCCTTTTTTTGGTTATTGTTTTCTTTGTACCTCCCCCCCACCCCCACCCCCCAACACACACACATACCCTTGCTTTTCTAGAAAGATCTGCATTTTCATCTGAAACTTGGTCCAACTGCAAGCCTGTGCCATGGATCACCCTGGAGCTTGGGGAGGGAACATAAAGGGAGGAGGAACCTTGGGAGCTGGTATTTCCTTTGGGACCAGTTGGAATGGATGCTAATGAATCCGCTCTGAGTCCTGCTCATTCCAGGAAACACAGGATGTTAAGCTCCTTCTCAGGCTATTTCTAGCCTAGCTGAAAAGTCAAAGGTCCTTGAACTTAGAGCAGGCAGATGAGCACAGTTTATCCTGCCGTGAAGGATTAAGTGATAGTTTAAATAGTAGCCCCAGCCTCCAGGACAGGCAGCTGCAGTAGAGAGTTCGGAACTTTGGATGGAGATTGAAACCAAGTCACCATTGCTCAATTGCATTCTCTGTATTATATTTAATTTGTAATCAAAGTTGTCACTCTTTCCTTGCAAGCATACATTCCTAAGGAACTGGAAACATTCATCGATGATGTCTGTTCTCAAAGATTTAAGCCTTAATCTTTTGTGCTGTTCTGCTTAGTAGTTTTTTTTCCTCCATAGAAAATATATTTTGATTGATTAGAATCTCATTCTTTTGTTCTTTTTTTTAAAAAAAGATATTCTGAGGCACTTAGATTTTCTCTTTCCCTCAGTCCCCAGCTTTGGCCCTCTCTTTGAATCTGAACCAGTTTCATTCTTTAAAAGTGTGTCTTTGGCCTTATTTATATTTTAATCTATTGTTCATATAGTTCTGAAAATAAAATTTGAAGTATGTATAGTTGGCCATCAAGTGAGTAGTAAAAGTAAGTGAGGTTTCACTATCTTCCTTCTATTTCCTCTTTTCTCTGAAACTTTTAAATAATAAATAATATATGTGTAAATAAGTAACATTATATATGCAAATATATGAAGTGTGTATATATTTAATAAATGTGCCTATAAACAGTGGGAATGATCTTTAAAATAGAATGGGCAGGTGCTTCAAAGAAATCAAGTTGAATTCTGTTTGTAACTGAACATTTGAATAATAGAGAATGATGAAGGGGATAAGTGGCGAGTTTCTCTTTGCTGTGCTCTCTGCCAGGTGCAGCTCCATTCTGTAAATTTAAGGCTGGTCTTGCTTTCCCTAGGTTATATGGCTCCCCGCTGAACATTGACTTGTTCCCTGCCCTCATGGTAGAAGACCTGGTTCCTGGCAGCCGTCTGGGGCCCACCTTGATGTGCCTGCTGAGCGCCCAGTTCAAACGCTTACGGGATGGGGACAGGTGAGGGCACACGTGCATGGAAGAGAGGAGAGTAACGGCCCAGACCTTCTTGGGGATGGCAGAGAGTAGCCCTGTGGTGACCTCAGGGTCCTGGGGTTCAGACTAGGAATGAAGACCCGCGTATACCCTTATGGTACCTGGAAAGTTCCCTTGCTGCTGGGACCTGCTATTTCACAGCTTGGGACTCAGCCGTAGCCTCATTCAAGGACATGCTCCTGCCTCTTCACTTCAGTTATTTTTGCTCCTAGAAACCTATCAGGCAGTCACATGTTGAACCGTTGTGGCTTTTAAAGGAGTCTGAAAGCTAGTGGACTTTTATTTGTGGGTCTTGAGTAGTTAAGTGGTTTAATGTATTGGAAAGGGGCTCCCAATCTTGCCCCTATAACTAACTCAGCAGATAACCATATGCCATGACTCTGATTTTAAAGCCTCTTTATTTTTTTCTTGAGTGCAGGGGGTGGGGAGGTTGAGGGACTACCCAGTGGTGCTCAGGGGCTATTCACCTCCTCGCAGTGCTCAGGAACCATACGTGGTGCTGGGTGAAGGGCAACAGACCAGAATTCAGCCAAAATGGCTGCATGCAAGGCAGGTTCCTTACCTCCTATATATCTCTCCTGCCCCAGGTCCATGTCTCTTGAAGCTGGTTTCTAAAAGGAGCTAAGGGCCAGAGCGATAGTAGATCGGGTAGGGCATTTGCCTTGCATGTGGCCGACCTGAGTTCAATCCCTGGCATCCCATGTAGTCCCCCTAGCACTTTCAGGAGTAATTCCTGAGTGTAGAGCCAGGAGGAATCCCTGAGCATCGCTGGATGTGACCCAAAAAGCAAAAAAAAGAAAAAAAGAAAAGGAGCTAAAACCCTGATGTTTTTAGCCCAGACTTAATATTTAAAATATTTATCATTTTTATGCTAGTACCAGCGTTATTGTTTAATATTTGCTGTGCTGTAGAACCATGCAGACCACTGTAATTATTTTGTATTGTGTTTATTTTTTTTATTTAATTTTTTTTGGGGGGAGCACACCCAGCAGTGCTCAGGGGTTACTTCTGGCTGTGCACTCAGGAATCACTCCTGACAGGCTCAGGAAACCATATAAGATGCTGGGGATGGAACCTGGGTTGGCCATGTGCAAGGCAAGCACCCTACTAACTATACTATCTCTCCAGATAGTACAGTTTGGTTCTTAAAGACCAATTTGAAGTACTCCCTAATAGAACATCGTGATGGCTGTATGGTTAGAGAACTAAGTGGGGGACTATTTTAATTCCTCTCCCTATGGCTTTTGAACCTCCGTCTTTTCTTGGTCTTGTTCTCATTCTGGGGAAATACAGGTTGTGGTATGAAAACCCGGGGGTGTTCTCCCCCGCCCAGTTAACACAGATCAAGCAGGCGTCCCTGGCCAGGATCCTGTGTGACAATTCTGATAACATCACACGCGTGCAAAAAGACGTGTTCAGAGTGGCCGAGTTCCCACACGGATACAGCAGCTGTGACGAGATCCCCAGAGTGGACCTGCGGGTGTGGCAGGACTGCTGTGAAGGTGCGTCTCAGACCTCATGCTCACCTCCAGTGCTCTGCTGGTTCCGCTCCTCCTTCCTGCAGTCCTTGCCCCAGCTTCTCTCTCTCAGCGACTCGTCCGCATGACTCAGCTTCTCCCTCACGGGGATTTGTTCTCCTGGCTCATCTTCTTCCTCACTGTGATTTTCTGGACGAAGCTTCTTCCTCACATGACTGGTTCTCCAGATTCGGCTTCTCCCTCACTGTGGTTTGCTCCCTTGCTCACTTGCTTGTTTGAACTTTCAGTGTGTACGAAGGCACTTGCAGGTGTACTCGTGAGTGAGGAAACCAAATATTTAGCTCTAGGGGGGCTTGTGAAATGATGCTATATCTGCCTGAGGTATACGATAGAACCAAAAAAATTTAAGTTGTGGTTTTGAAGAATTTGTAATGAAACGGGACAGTATTTAATATGATAGCTAAAATACTAAGTAAGTAGAAAATGGAGCTAGAGAAATAGAACAAGGGTTTAGATGCTTTCCCAGTAATGCCTGACACCAGTCAGATCTCTGGCACCACATATAGTGTCCCTCAAATACTGCCAGGATTCTCTCCTGAGCCCAGAGCCAGTAATAGCCCCTGAGCACTCCCAGGTGTGGCCCCCTAACCCCCATTCCCCCAAAGAAGAAAATATACAAGAATAAGGCATGCTTCACGTGGCCAACCCGGGTTCGATTCTTTCGCCCCTCTCAGAGAGCTCAGCAAGCTACCGAGAGTATCTTGCACGCACAGCAGAGCCTGGTAAGCTACTCGTGGTGTATTTGATATGCCAAAAACAGTAACAACAAGTCTCACAATGTGTTGTGAGACTTTACTGGTGCCCGCTTGAGCAAATCAATGAACAACGGGAGGACAGTGCTAAGGCATGCTTCTAATTTTTCTTTGAAACCTGACTTATGGGTTCGGGAAAATAACTCAGAGTTCCTTCCTGGCACTGTGCACTGTGAACCTACCTCTCACCTCACCTCAGTACCATTGGCGATGATTCTGGTGGTCCCTGAGGATTGCTGCTGGTGGCCCTCAAACAGTCAGACATGAGCACTGAACCCCCAGGTCCACACTGCCAGGCCATGTGTTGGCCCACAGGTTTGTAAGCATTACTGGAGAGAGTCTCTCAAAAAATAGAGCATAGCATTTGTCTAAGAATTTGTATTTGTGGGTCAGCCGACATGTTCATATTCACAAATTTAAAAATGAAAAAATAAACTTACTACACATCCAATTAGTGGTGCAAGGCTAAGGTCTCACCTACACACCCTCAATATAGGTGCCAGTAGTTCCACTGTTTAGATGTAGGACTCAGACTCCTGACTAGTGCTCACAGAGCTTTAGTTGTGGGTTTTCACATGCCTGTCTGTGGTACGGCTGGCAATCAGTGGCATCACCTGGGGGACAGACATCAGAACTGCAGCATGGCATTCACGCTTGTGGTTTGTCTCAGGACAGTGCTCACAGCTTCCCGCTGCAAGGCTCACCCACCGAACCGTCTCATGGTTACCTCAAATTTGGATTTTAAGAAACAGTTCTCTCCTGGGTCAATAGTACAGTGGTTAAGGAGTTTGCTTGGCACATAGCTGACCCAGGTTTGATCCTCAACACCACATAGGGTCCCCTGAGCACAGAGCCAGGAGTAAGCCCTGAGCAGCAGTGGGTGTGACCCCCAAAGCAAAAAAAGCAAACAAAAATATTGACACGCTATGCTTGAAATCTAACAACTTCTCTAACCTAGTAACTTATATTGCTAGATGTTTGCAGGCCAGAGCTGTTGTGAGCAGGCGTGGGAGGCTCTAGGAAGGTGGGAAGTGTTCAAGGGTCTCTTGCACCCGCTCACCTGCTCCTGTCTTTGCTCTCTGGCTCCTGCTTTGTGTCCCTCAATTCTGCTCATGATCGACCTCAATTTTCATTTGCTCACTGCATCTAATTTGGGCTCTATTCAGACTATGATTTCCTAGAACCCTGTGAAATACTAGAACTGGGGGATTGTCTTGAATCCAACATGAGGAGTCTGCTCAGTTGGGTGAGGGGCATCCGACCTCACACCAGTCCTCTATGCCCTGCGGGGCTGATGAAGAGCAGACACAGGTTTTCTCTTCCAGCCCTGGTGCAATCGTTCAGACCAGGCTGTTCTCCCCGGCAATTAATTTAGCCTAGTTGTTGTTTTCATTTGTGAGTACTGAAAGATGATGTGTTACAGCTGGCTTTAATGGTTTCTTTTACTTGTGGATATGAATATGTGAATTCTGATTTTTGTCTTTTTCCTCCCTTTGACTATGCTTCTCCCCTTTTCTTGGTGTATATATTTGTATAGGGAACATATAAGATAAATAATAAACAGTAAATGCTTATTTTATATCATAAGTAGGAGGTGTGATATTCTAGGAGAATTCACATAAAATTTGCAGCTGTTCTAACTACAGACCTACTTTCTCGAAGCTTTTGCTTTCTCCTACTAACATCTACTGGAAACTTGTATTGTGTTTGTGTGCTTTAAGTTTTTAAAAAATATTCTAGTTAGTTCGTCCAGTTCAAGTTACTTTTGCACATGCATGGTCCAGAATTTGTATCATATGCTTACATTAAATTATTCTCTTTTAGGGGCTGGAGCAATAGCACAGCAGGTAGGGCGTTTGCCTTGCACGCGGTCAAACTGGGTTTGATTCCCGGCATCCCATATGGTCTCCTGAGCACCGCTAGGGGTAATTCCTGAGTGCAGAGCCAGGAGTAACCCCTGTGCATCGCCGGGTATGACCCAAAAAGCAAAAACTAAAAAACTAAAATAAAAAATATATTATTCTCTTTTAAAGTCGTTGTGGAAAACTGGTTCTTCTCAGATACAAAAGCTTCCTTTTCTGATACCTTTAGAAAATTCCTTTTAGCTGCTTGAGGAATAGAAGCGAAATTCTGAAATAGTCTGAAGTTTCCGATTCTTTGGCCCAAATAATCCAAAGTTCTTAAAGACTTTATCTTGAAGCAGCCTTGACCTCCCTCTCCTATTGTCAGACTCTCTTGTAGCATTCGAACCATGTAGAAATGTTCTGGAAGAGATTTATGACATCTTTCTTCAGGATACTCTCCCTCTTAAAATAGTAGGCAGAGATAGCCTAAACTGACAAAACTTAAAAGAGTGTTTTTATTTTTTCACCGAAAGCCACATCAAAAACAGAGAAGAAGAGAGAGAGGGGGAGAGAGAGGGAGAGAGAGAGGGAGAGAGAAAAGAGGGCCATTTGACAGGCGCAGATGTCAGTTGCTATTTACTTTTTGATTCAACTTTCTTAAAAGATAGTTTTCAAGCAGACTTTCTTGAGCTTAACCATTTTAGCATATTTTAATGGTCCAAGTATGAAACCTGCACACAAAAGAAACCTGAGAAGGAACTCCTGGGTATTATAGTTGCTTTTGTTTTACACAAAAGCTTGGTGTTCCAATGTTTGGTGATGATTAATGAGTCAGAGGGAAGAATATACAAATGCACGTGTACATAGACATGGAAATCAGGCACATATTCAGTTTTGAAGTCATTATAGTGATCATTGAAATAATCCAAAGATCTCATATAGTTCACCCAGATCTATTATTAACACACTGCATTCTTTTTTTAGATGTACGCATATAATATGCACATGTGTGCATATGTGTGTGAATCACATGTGAAAAGGTATATTCTGAATTGAGGAATTTGTCAACATCATGCCACTTTGCTCCTAAATGATTTTCTGAAGTGCATGTGATCAAAATGGGAGACTTCACATAGAAAATGTTTCCAAGTTTATTTCCATTTGTTGTTTGTTACAGCACTGTCTCTGTGTGTGTCATTCTGTTTCCTAACACCCAGAGCCAGGCTCACATCCCAGCTCTTCTGCTGGGCTGCATTTCCTTTGTCTGCCTCTCCTTCACTTTTGTAAAACCTTCCTCAGCTGCTTAGGCTGTCTGATTTTGTCAGACGGGTCAGGTCCTGTATTGGGACCACTGAGTCTCAGTCAGTACACTAGTGTCCTTCTAGTGTCCTTCAAGAGACCAGGATGCCGCGTGTCCTGTTACTCATGGCACTGGCTAGGATTACATAGCTAGTACGTAAGGCCCCTGCTGTTTGAGAAAGGACTAAAAAACTGTGATCTGTGAGCAACTTTCCTCTGTCTCAAGGCATTCCTGGAAAGCAGTGGGCTGCTGTTTCTTAAGTAGCACTGGGTGCCTGTGGTAGAGATTAACTTCAAAATGCCATGTGTCTTCTGCTGGTTGTAAAGAGCCCAGTGCTTTCCAGTGCTGCATTGTGAACATAACAGACTGGATTGTCATCCATACCCAGACCTGAGAGTTGTGCTAGGTCCCAGAATTCCTGCTCACAGCTAATAAAATAAGGCAGCAAGGAGACTGCTGCAAATCAGGGCACTGAGCAGGTGTGTGACCCATGAATGACTGCATGGGGCAGTTTTCCCAAGTCAACACAACTCTGGGGATCACCAAACTAATAATCACCTGCTGATGTCAGAACTGCATTGAATGCTGGTTGGCAGCAGGAATGTGTTAGGAGAGCCCCAAGATGTGAGACGTGCATGTGGAGCTGGGTGAATGGCCTCCCGGGCTATTGGAGAAACTGCTGTCATCTGTTCTGACACACTGGGTGGACAGAATCCTGTGAGAAGCACGCAGGTTGGAACCGACGCTTGAGTCAGCTGCAGAAGTAAAGGAATTGTGCATGGGTGTTGTTCCATGGGCAGAGGTGGGTTTTTCGTCTTGCTTGCTGAGAACCCTCACTGCTGTACGTTCTGGGTCCAGCTGGTTACGAGAAATCGGAACCAGAAAGTGGCTGCAGCCCTTTCCTGGGGGTGGAGAGTGAGCACAGCTGTTTGCTTCTGTTTATTCTTGGTGGCTTTTCTCTTCTTGTGGGATTCCTCCCCTGAGGCTCCGAGTCTTCAAGGGACTGGACATGGGCCTTTCCCAGGCAGACTCCTCCTGGGCAGTGAGGCGGGAGTGCAGCATGGAACCGATCTCCTATGGTGTGGGATGATAAGGGCCAGGAAGATCCCAGCACCAAAAGGCCACCCCACTCCTCACGGGGTCCTGTTGATGGGATGCAGGGAGCTCTCTGCATTGTCAGGTGCCCCAGCTGGAGAAGGTGACAGGCTCCTGACTCAAGTGGTGGCAGGAACCCGGCAAAGGGGTTCAAAATCAGGTGGTACATGTGCAGAACAAAACCTGGAGGAAGGCTCTGGAGGGTGTGTGTGCCATCAGGGAGTGGACATAGGTTCTGTGGAGCTCATGGTACAGGGGACAGGGTCAAGGGACAGCTCAGGCCTGGCCCGGGGACCAGGAGGGCTGAATGTAGGGACTATCCAAGCGTCCCTCTGAGCCACAGCTGACATTAAGCATTAATTATATTGGTGCCCCCAAGTGACTTGCAGAAACCCTGGATCTTTTCCTTGCTGGGCTCCACTTCTCTGACTGCCTGTTTCCACCTTGCCCACAGACTGTAGGACCAGGGGACAGTTCAATGCATTCTCCTATCACTTTCGAGGCAGGCGGTCCCTGGAATTCAGCTACCAGGAGGACATGCCTGACAAGCATGCAAGCTCCGAGACGGTGATGAGTCCAGCTGCCACCAGGTAAGGCTGGGTCCCCCAAAAGAAGCTCTGACCTGGGGGCACAACTTCTATCTTCATTCCCTCAAGAGGGCATGACCCTGGGTTGCGCTCAGTCCCTGTCCACGAGGCAGCTGTCACCTGCTGAGGGAGCCATTCTGAATTATATTTGCCTTTTCTTTTCTCCCCTTCCGTAGTGCTGGGAAACTCAGTAAGTATCCCAGCAACACCACTTCTGCCTTTACTGAGCACCCCCAAGTACCAGGGACAAATGACTTCAAGGAATTTATTCTGGATATGCAGAAGACCATCACAGACCTCAGGAAACAGGTAAGGCCTGTTGGAGCACCCCTCATGAATCTCAGTGTAAGACTGGAACCCCAACGGCGCTTCCTGAGCCAGCATTAAAGAGTTTCCTCTTCAATAACCCTATTTATAGCCCTGCTTTCACAGGCAGCTTCATTTCTCCTGAGGTGGAAGCTGTAAATCCTGCCTCTGTGCTCCCACAGTGCTCAGGGCCAGGCTTCCAGAAGGGGTCCTTCCGGTCTGCTTTGCCCTTTGGCTTGGCACAAAATTTGACTGATCCACTTTAGCTGCCCTTGGATTTCCTAGCAGTAGGGAACACAGCACTGGTGCAAGGGCATGCTTGATGAGGTCCCAGTTTTATTCCTGGAGGATGTTGGCAAGCGTCCATGAGATCCTAGAGTACAAAGGAATTCAGAGTTCAGGAAATGGGGAACTGCAAACTCGGGGTCAGATTGTTCCACAGCTGCCTCTTGAATCCTTGATCAATCCTTGTTTCCAAGAAGGCGCTGGGAGGTTGTTTTGAGGTCTGGCCTCTGAATTTGAAAACCAGAAAGTTTGACTACTGGGACTACAGGAATTTGGAGCTTCCTGGCTGTTCTGGGATCTTACAGAGATGTACCCGGTGGTGCTTGGGGAACCGTATACAACAGTCAGCAAATGCAAGGCCTGTGCCTTCATCCCTGTACTATCTCTCTGGCCCCTGAAAGTCTTTGATCACAGGTCTCCATCATCAGAGTGGGCACAGAACTGTGCAGTGTCTTCGTTTCTGAGCGTTTCCTCTTTAATAACCCTATTTATAGGAACTGCCCTTTTGCTGTCAGATGAGGTGGCAGGACTCAAACCCAAGCCTGACTTGGGGCTTTGTGGTCGATAGCTCTCTCCTATTTTGATGAGTGAATGTGAAAGTCCAGAAAATCTCGTGGGAAATAATCAAACCATTCCTAGAAAGGCATCCCTTCAGGAGACACAGATGCAATGCCAGCATCCAGTTCCTTTTCAGGACTGACGTGGGCATGTATTTGCTTGGCTGCAGATAAAGAAACTTGAATCTCGGCTCAACACCTCCGAGTGCCCCGACTTGGACGGCAAGTCGCATGCCAATGGAGCCACGTGGAAGACAGACCCATGCACTGCTTGTGAATGCCATGTAAGTGAGGGGTCTGGCTCTCAAGAATCCGGTTCTTGGCCTCAGCAGAGGTCCCTGAGCCCACAGACTCTGGCTCCCCTGCAGGGCTGGTCCCTGTGCAGTACTGCCTCTAGTTAACCATGGGGCTTCTGCATCCATGAGGAAGGAGCCTCAGGCTGAGAAATGTAGGTGGATGGCTGGTCTGGCTGCAGTCTGATCTGAACAGGACCCGTAGAACTGTGCATTTGGGAGACAGGATGGAGGAGGAAGTGTGGAGTTTCTGGTGTCATGAGGGACACCAGATAAGGAAAGGGTTTGGCAGTTCCTCATGGCAGCCTCATTTTGGTAGAACTAAGCAAATCAGGAGTAGCTGCGTCCCCTCAAGTTTCTGTCCAGTCTGCGTTTCCCCTTACCCACACACCATCATCATCATCATCCCAGATGTGCATGGAGGTATTGGGAGGCTTCTGAATCCTGGGGTCCATGCATAGGAGGAAGGACGACTGGAAGAGGGTGCAGTGAAGGGCAGGAGTGGCAGTCTCTGGAAGAGGTCTGGGTGTCTCTGGCTGTGAATCATTCAGAGAATCACTCCTTCGTTGCACAACCCATCGAGGAGTCAAAAGGTTGCTGAGGGCACAGCTAGGAGGTATCACAGTTGTCCCGAGCCCTAGGGATCTGACAGCTCTCTCCTTCAGGATGGACACATTACCTGCTTTGTGGAAGCATGCCAGCCCGCCGACTGTGCAGAGCCCGTGAAGCTGGAGGGAGCATGTTGTCCAATCTGTGTGAAGTCCAGTCCAGGAGAGGAACCATAGGCCCAGCAGAGTTCCTCAGAGTGTCTCCACTATGTCATCTCAGATCAGATGGCCGGTACGGGGGCTGTGATGCAGGAACCACCAGGAGCTGGACATTGCTTGGCCCACCGTGGCCAGAGCTGTTTCGGAACAGAGTGCAAGAGGCTCAAAGACAGGAGGTGACCATTGCGGAGTAGATCCACGAACAGAAAGACAGACATGTGTCCTAACGTCATGTTAATTTCTCAGGTCTTATTTAATTTTTTTTTCTAGTGAAAAATTGGTGCTACAATTAAATTGCACAGTTGTGTCATTTAGGCTCCTAAATTGATTTCACAGACAGTCACGTTTTCTCTCCACTAGAAGTTTGGCTCGGTTCTGAAGAGCAGGTACTTGCAGGCAGGGTCCCCACGAATGAGAGCGCTAGATGGAGCCTCATTGGAGGCTCGCCACATTTCAAAAGGAGTCAGTGTTGAGCAAATGAGCTGCATCTCTTCCGGCATTGTGGTGGCAATCTTAGCAGTAAGCAGAGGCCCACATTCCTCCCTCCTGATGCAGATGGCCCTCTGCTTCAGAGTAGACATCTCGTGGAAAGGCATGTACATGTCCATGATGGGGAGATGATTAAGCCACACTTAGAAGCTGGTTTGCTGCATTGTATAACCTGCATGCTTACCTGTCTAGCTGGGGACCAAATGTGAAAACCCTCCATGTCTTCTTGAACGACACCTACTGAACCTCTGTCCACATTGACCACCTCGTCCACAGCCAGCTCACCGCTTCCTGTCCCCCCACATCCCCTGCACCAAGCTCTGCTTCTAGCCAGAGAACAGGGAGGACTCACAGTGAATCCTTGAGGGGGCAGGGGAATGTGAATGCTGGGAACTTTCTAACTTCAGGTTGTATGAATGTGTTAAAGGAAAAATAAAAATAGCCCTATACCTCATACGTAGTTTTTAATGCATGCTGTTTGATGAAGTCTTGCCCATGATTTAGGTGTTAGGTATGGCAGTAAAACCATTTCCACTATGCAAAAAAAAGTTCTTCTAGGATACAGTGAAAAGCAACGCTCATACCTCAAGCTCTCTCTTTTGCAATTGGCCCACAGCCGCCCATTTTTTTGTTCAAAGTAAAAAGGGGGTCTGTATTATGAGACACGTTTCCCTGAATGTACAAGTTCAGGGGCAACAAATGCTTTCTGGAGTGCCCACTGTGTGACTGGCATTGTGTGGTGTACAGGAGATGTAAGACCTGCTCAGCCTGCATTCAACCCCAGGCGGATAGGAGGAGGGATGGAATACTATACTGGCGGGTTCAGAACAGGCGAGGCTTGTGTCAGAGATGCACAGTTTATATTGTATCCACCATTGGTGCCGAGGGCAGGAGAGTCTGTAGGTATAGCCTGGCAGGAAATGGGTGTTTCCCAGCCTGCTGTTAGCTCAGCATGACTGTCCCCGGGCTGGGAACTCCAGGTCTCATGCACAAGGCAGCTACATCTGTAGACTGGAGATCATGTTCTAGCACTGGGAATATTTAACCATGGTTGGCTTGACTTTTTTACCCTCCTCTTCCTAAACAAACAAAAATGACAGAGATTTTATGGGGTGATAGGACATCTCTTCTTATATCAAGTCAAATTGAGTTACCAGGTCTTGGAACAGATTTCTATAACTTAGGAAATGGACAACTGAGAAAGTTGGGTGGTTGTATCCTAAGCTCAGGTAGGGAAGGTCCCACATTCTGTGGGGTTAGGGGGATTCTTGTGTTTTGAGGTTGGTGTGTGGTTTTCTTGTGGACGTGGCCTGCACCAGTGGAAGAACTGGCTTGGGCAAGCATCACAGGTCTTGTCCTCCAAACGGAAGGAGGGTATCTGATTTATCATGAAATCCCTTCCTTTCTATGGAAAAGTGCAGAATTGCCACAGTGTCAAAACTGTGGGCAGCCCTGGAATGCAGCTTCCTCAAAGCCACTGGCTGCCGTGAGATGAAGCAAGTGTACATATTTATTTACTTCTCTAACTGTGGCTGACAGCCAAATGCCTCTTTTCTGTTCATTGTAATCCGTACATTACCAAAGAAAGGTTTGCACTATATAATGATGCTTTTCAAGTCAAATAAATGGTTCACCTTTTCAAATGGAGAATGGTTTCCAAAGGTTCTTTTTTCTCCCCCTGCGCCAAGCCCCAAGACTGTATACCCTATTCCCCAGGTGAGGGCTAACCCTTATTAGCAAAAGGAGCAGTTCCTAGGAGAGCTCTAGAGCTGCTGGGATCAACCAGGTATTTTTGCTGAAAAATATGAGGAAGGGATAAAAGACAGGGGAGGTTAATTCAGATGGATCATGTCCATCAAAGTAAACTCGTGCTTTCACAAGTGCCAGTGCTGGCATTGTTGTCTGAATTTTGAGCAGGTGCAAGATGAGTTCCTAGGAACCACTCATAGGTCCAGACCTTCTGGAACATTCGGTATGGGAGGCTCATGCTTGCTAGAGAAACTCTGACCTGGGGACCCTGTTTTCCCAGGAGCAGGGGCTCAGAGAAGCAGGCTTTCCTGGCTGTGACCAGAAAAATCAGGCTATGGGGACCAACATGCCATCTTTCATTTTGTTGTTGTTTTGTGTTTGGGTCACAGCCCTGCATGTTCTTGGGGGATACTCCTGATGCTATGCTTGGGGGTCAATCCCAGTTGTGCTGGGTGTCCATTCAGTATTAGGGTCAAATCCAGGCTTCTCGCCTGTAATACATGTACTCCAGCCTTTAGCCTCTTCCTGGCCCAAGGATGCTATTCTGAAGTGCACCAGGAAGGATGTAATAGTGTGTTTCCAGACCTGGGCAAAAATCATTACTGTTCATCTTAGCATGGAGAGAGAATTCAAGTACCTGAGGGAAATTGCATCTGGAGTTAATTTAAGTTGCCTCGTTGTTTCGATCTCTGCAGTGAGATGGCTGAGCTGCTTTCAAGGCATAGTATTAAAGGAATCGATGACTAAATTCTCTGAGGCTTATGACGAGTTCTCCAATCCCCACCCATATAGCAGCGATAGGCTTCTTTGCAAGGGAGGTGGAAAAAGATACTTTTCAATCTTCCAGGATGCCTTACTTTAAGATGCCAGTAGCTGGCTTTTCTTCAGGTGACAATGATAGTGTTATGCATTTGGTGTCTTACAAATAGGACTGTTCCACTTCAGTTCAAGAATGCCTTGCTGGAGCTTGGCCACTACCTGGACAGGGTTTGGGCCGGCTGACACTAGGCTTTGGACATGAGTGGGACCTGGCCTGCCTCCCAAAGTCTCCCTCTCCCCATGCTTGTCCCAGCCTTGCTTCCACTGTGTGACCTCCCTAGGGCATCGCTGGCTATCTCCCCAGGACTGCTTGGGACGAACTCAGTGGTCCACAGGTGTGAAGATTTGGGTTCATGCTCACCATGTAATGGACTTCCAATCCCTGTGTCAGCAACAGTCAGACAGGAAACTGGGGCCATATACTAGTTAATTGAAAGGGAAGGGTAATATAACACTGGCTGAAACTAGGAGCAGGGAGAGAGTGCCAAGGGCTGCAGTGCATGTCTTGCATGTGCCGACCTTTGATCTTGATTCCTGGCCCTGCAACAGCCCCAGAGTTATCACTGAGTAGAGTCCTTGAGGTGCCCACCCACCGCCACTGTCACCCTGTTGGCCCTCAGCACTGTTAGTCCTGAGCAGTGACACAGTCCCAGGCATAGGCACTGAGCCAACTCATCGACCTAATTGGCCAAGTAGGACTGAGAATGGGCCTAGGGGCACCTGAGCTCTGCTTGCGATTAACCCCTCAAAAATATAAATAAATAAATAAATAAATAAATAAATAAATAAATAAAACCATCCTACAGGAATGAATCACTTGTCTCACTTTACAGAATGTGGAAAATGCTAAGGAGCTGACACAAAGGGCTGGAGCATACGTGCTTTGCATGAGTGTGGGAGCCCCAGGTTCTGGTTCTGGCTCTGTGCAGTCCCTCTAGCATTACGAGGTCTCAAAACTTAATCAAAAGTGCCAGCATGGTCCCTTTTTAAAAAAGATCTTACACCCATATCTCTAAGCAGCATAGGCAATTGTCTCATGATGTTTGAGAAGATTCTTGATTTAAAATGAGCTCTCCAAACAAAAGGGAGTGTCTTGCCACAGAGGCAGGGTGGGATTGGGGGGGATGGGGGTGGGAGGGATACTGGGATTAGTGGTGGTGGAGAACGGGCACTGGTGGAGGGATGGGTACTCAATCATTGTATAACTGAAACCCAAGCACAAAAATTTGTAAGTCTGTAACTGTACCTCATGGTGTTTCACTAATAAAAATTAAAAAAAAATTTTTTTTTAATAAAATAAAACGAGCTCTCCAAATGCATTTTAAAAAAGGAAAGAAGTTGCATTTTCTGCCTAGTTTCCAATAGTGGGCTGGAGAGGTCTTATAGGGCTTCAGACACTGGCTATGTATGTGGTCAACCCAGTTCCATTCCTTATACCTCATGGCCCCCAACACTGCCAGGAGTGATCCCCAAGCACAGAGCCAGGAGTAATCCCTGAGCACATCCAGGAGTGACTCAACAAAAATCACATGCTTTGAAAAACTATATGTGGCTTTCCCCCTGGCACTGACCGCTTTTCCTTTACCCACCACTGTAGTCACAGGATGCAGGATCTTGACGATGAGAGGAAAAAAGAGCAAGACAAAACTTGCCAGTGATTGGTGGGGAGGGATGAAGGGGGATGAAATGGGGGTCTCTGCCCCACAGTCTTCAATGCTTGTGTGGGTTTAAGGGGTAACTGCGGGAAGAAGTCGCACTTAAACCATGATTGCACTATGTCCCCAGCATGAATAGCCATTGAGGGGGCCAGGGGCCAGTTGTGGTGTCTGACCTAGTATGGGTTGGGGAGAAGCGCACACATTTGCATCCTCCCCTTGGCCCAGCCACGGGCTGTGCACCAGCTTTCCCTAAGAGCAGTGATGGACTCCAAACCACCCTCTGGACAGCTTGCTTCTCTGTGCACTGAGTCGCCCCTCTGACTTAGAGCTTCCAGTGTGTGTTCACATTCTCAAACCAAGAGCCTTGAAGTGTTGACCGTGGGGTTGTGTTTAAATTTGGAAGGTTCCAAGGGGCTGAAGGGGCAGTACAACAGGTAGGGCACTGGTCTTGTACATGATCTTCCTGGGTTCCATAACTGGCATTCCACATGGTGCCCCAAGCCCCACCATGAGGGATTGCTGAGCACAGAGCTGAGAGAGAGCCAAGAATACTGACGAATGTGCCACCCCCCCCAATACTTTTAATATTTAAAAGAATTTTAAAGTTCCAGACATCCCAGGGGGCCCTGTTATCATGTTTTGGGGATTTATTAAAAGCAATTAGCTCTTAAAACTCATTCGGATACTGTTTTAAGACAGGGGCCGGGACAGGATCATGCCAGTATGTCACCCATCTTTCCAGAACAGCCCTCCTTGACGTCAGAGAAGTATCCCTCTTGGAGCCAAGTGACGTCAAGGTTCATTTTTCCCATCACAATGCTGGATAGCAGCCTAATTGCTAACTACCCATTCCAGAAGGGTTTCATTTTGGCAGTCTGGGATGCCAACCAGAGACATAAAGGCAAGGTTTTATGTCCCCATCATGGTGATGGGGCACCTTAGGGTGACAGTGCCTCACCTTAATGTGGCTTCCCCACAAACCAACATTTGGGGGAGGAAAAGAACAAACCTCTAGTGATTTTCATTATCCTCTTCTTTTTCTAACATGCCCAAAGTCTTACATTTCACGGAGAACGTTGTTTGGAATAGATTTTACCAAAGACAAATCTCTCTTGACTAGTGATTAGCCCTTGCCGAAAAACCTCCCATGAAATAGCATCTTGGCCTCATTGTTCCATGCTTTTCAAATTATCCACATCCTTCCCAGCCCACTGGTCTCCCTGTTGTTTTGTCCTCAAGAAGCAAACAAATCAGGAGACACAACGTCTCTCTGCCGAGCTTAACCCAGCAGCTGTTCTCACAGGAAGTTCCTGGAAAACATTCCTGTTTGTGTTCCTTACAGATTCCCGCAGCAGAAACGGGCGGATGATTGCCATCTTTTCTTATCATTATGCTTCAGAGCATAGGGAAGTGAAAAGGGAATGGGACACTGGCACCTCACAGGCCCTGTGAGAGTGGGCTGGGCATCCCCACCTCTTCCTGATTCTTGGCACACCCTAAACTCATGATAGCAGGACTCCAGACGTAAATCCACTATGATTCTGAAATCAGTTTTTGTCCATCGCTCCCAATGGAGAAAAGCAAAAACCTACACTTAATCAAAACTCCAATTCATTCCATGCCATGCTCAAGGTATTGAATGACAACCTTGAATGTACCTCATAAGGCAAGGACACACACCTTAACTGGGCATTTAAAGACATGAGCTGTCTCCTTGTTTGTGCTCAGCTGAAATCCTATGCGTGCTATTATCTGTGTGTCCTTTGCTGAGCCTCTCTACCTGTCCATGACAGGTTTTTTCATTTGTAAGACAGGAGACAATTTTCCAACCAGCCTCAGGAATTGGCTGCACAGATAACCTGAGCTGTTCTCTGAAGCACCTGCTTAGAGCCAGGCTCAAGCAAATATGCCAGGTGAGCTCTGTTCTATTTTTGTGGCCACTGGCAGACAGCCTGGCTCCTCTAAAGGTCTGCATAGCGACCACTCTTCCACATTCCATAATTCATTTGTAAATAAACTATACACAGTGATGTATGTTTTTGTGCACATGGGAAGGGAAAATACTGAACCCTGCCCTTGTTTTTTTGTTGTTGTTTTTAAATTTTACATAATGGTTTAACTTTTTGTATTGAATCATTGTGAGATAGACCTTACAAAGATGTTCATGATTAGATTTCAGTCATACAGTATTCCAACAACCATCCTTCCACCAGTGTATATTTCCCAGCACCAGTGTCCCCAGTTTCCCTCCCATATCACCCCCCACTCTTCCACCCTGCTTTTATGGCAAGCACTTCTCTCTCTCTCTCTCTCTCTCTCTCTCTCTTCTCTCTCTTTCCCTATCCCTCCCTCCCCCTCTCTTTCCCTCTCTTTCTTCTTTTTGGCATTGTGCTTTGCAATATTGATACTGAAAG